GACAAGACGAACAACCACAACAACAACAAGATCAACATCCACAACAATATCGACAACGAAATCACAATTAACATTGACGTCGACACTACCGTTAGATTTAATACCTATTCTACCATTGAGTCGAGCTACAAGTAACGAAAGGTAACTAAATATACCATTACACACATCAAAAGTCATACGAAAAAATTCTAAAGTTCTGTTTAACATTAGTTTGAGAGATATCCTTCCCATATGTAATCAAAAAGCATCTAACATTAGAACTAGTGTGAACAAAAAACTACAATAGTTCAAATAAAATAGAATATTTTAATATATGAAAAGTTTTACTATCACATGTTCCGTTATTGTAGGACAACTCTAATAACCATTATGGCTAGTCTTATCTTCGTCTTCACAATATCTCTACACTTGTTTTAACTATTCTCCATTATTTTATGAACTTCTCGATCGATTACAGATTAAGAACTATTGAACGAATTTATTTGATGTTTTGCTGTTATTGAACGTTATTAAAGTTTTGTGAATACTTTTAATATTCGATCATTACGAATGGCGCAACAATTCACACGAATGGTTTTTATATTCATCTTAGTTTTTTTATATGTTGCCATTTTTATCGAAATGGAATAGATTTTATTTTAATTTTTGAAAAAAGAAATGATTATTTGATTATATTTATCTATCGTTCTTGTTTAACTTGTTTGTCAAATAAGGAAATATTTAATGAAAGTTACTAATTATCGTAACGTTTAATAGTAAGATCATTTATAACAAGTATTCGGCATAAAATATTGGAATGATTTTTGTCACTTCTAAATTATGTCGGTAAAGTAGTTTAGAATTTGTATTGTAATTATTCTGTGAATACCGTTTTGTTCATCATAATTTATCAAAGAGAAATATTTCAATCGAAAGTTACATGTATCATGTCGCATCAAGTCAATATAACTAAATAAGCATAATCGAAGTTTTTGCAATAGAATATATTTGTGAAGATTCTCTTCTATGCTCCCTTCATAATGTATATTTCGTAAGATAAAAAGCATAAACACACCTCGTAGTCGAATAGTTATATTCAGGCGAGCGCAAAGAGAGAGAGAGAAGATAGATCATGAATACAAAGGTAGTATGAATCAACCACACCCACACCCTCAAATTATTTAGATCAAAGTAAACCTTTTAGAAAAAATAACGAGTATTCTAGTATTGCTCATTATTAAAATGTTCCATTGATCTGAATACTAATAAAGAATTGAAAGCATAATGCACTAGAAAAAATTCATATTGGTTGATTAGCTAATGATAATTCTTTAATGATATAGATAACTTCTTCTACTTCACTACATTTGATAGTCACATTTTACTAAAAATATAACATTAACTAAGTTTTCAATTCGTGTCATTCCAAGAAAGCGCAAATTAAATTAAGTTGTATATTATCAATGTTAAATATATTATATTCATATATTATTAGTTCAATCGTAAATAATCTATAACTGTTATTCTTTATATACTTTAACTAATTTCTGATCATTCAATGCTTTTTATTTTGTTCTGGATTGTCGGATGGTTTATATTCGAGGTACATTTACTTTCTTTCGAAAGTTTTTCTCGAAATAATATGTCATTTTGTAGCTGAAACAGAAGTTCAAAAATAAGGAAAATCTTTATTAGAAAAGTGTACTTAGTTGATGAAGATTTCAATCAATATAAAAAATCTATAAAAATTGTCGTATTTCTAAGATCTTTCGAATACAAAAAGCTTTTACGAGAAATAATATATTCCACATATCACCATTGATAGATTCTAATAGATATTTTCATGAAGTTTTTGTTTATATCCAGTCCAAACTTTATAGTACTGTTTAGTTTCTATAGTTATATAATTAATGGTTCCTTGAATTTCTAATATCATGTATTATAAGAGAGATCAGGCAAAAAGATCTCTACATCCCTATTTATTGATAAACAAATAAAATCTATGTGTTTTAAGTTTGTATTGACCAATATATAACGAATACTATCAAGTCCATGAAGTTTTTGACATAAAAAAATGAGTTCGTTTATTAAGTATTACAAATAGTTATTGGTCACTATTTTAGATATTTATACTCTAAAAAAAAGGAGTTTTACCGAACTACCAACAAAAGGTTCTGTAAATGACCAGAAGCTTATAAATGCATCGAAAGCTTAGAAAACCAGAACATCAAAATGTGCAGAACCTTCTCTTCCAGAACCATTGTTTGAGCTCCGTACAGCTAAAAAGTATTCTATAAGGAAATACGAAACATCTGAATGTTCATATTAAATTCTGCGCAAACCAATAGGGTTTAGTACAAAACCATCAGGGTTCCAAAGGATTTAATAAAAACTTTGAGAGGTTTCGTATGTTCTTACGGAACTCAAAAAATGGTTCTGGAGGAGAAGGTTCAGCTCGTGGATAAAATTCCGAACTATTAAGAATTCTGCACATTTTGATGTACTGTTTTTTGAGACTTTTGACACATTTGTAAACTTTTAGTCATTTAAAGAATCTTTTTTAAGGTTCGATAAAACTTTTTGTTTTCAGAGTAGTGTTTAATAGTAAAGAAGAAAGAGTTTTTTTATTTCTGCAGATGAAAGGGCAAAAATTGACTGCCGAAAATCTTCGATCAACTTATTTGAAAGTTCCATTACTCAGTATAACGGAAGCTATTCAGCAAGTACCAAACTCCTGGACGCATCTGTCAATTTGCCCTATCAGCTTACCTCCATATATTACATTACCATCTGGATGGACAACTAACGACTTAGCTGCAATAAAAGTGTACACTTCTCCGTGTCGTCTATATGAAGCCCTTAATGAAGCTCTTCGAACTGAAAAAATCAACGAGATTCGGCCTTGGTTTTCTTATTTGAAACTCTTCGATACTGCAATCAATAAAATACCTCCAGTAAAACGTCGGTATTGTCGCGGAATACGAGTTGCTCCGAACTATGCGTACACAGTTGGTACTGTTATAACTTGGGTAAGTAGAATGAGAAAACAAAATGATGAAAAAAATTGAACTGTATGTATCAGAATTTTAAAGATTTTTCAGAGCAAAAAGTATTATTAATTTTTGCGAAAACTGACTTTGTTTCATATACTTAATAGTGGGGTGTATCATCAGTATCTACGAACAGATCTATATGCAAGAACTTTGCAAGCCTTCATAGTGGCGGTTGTTGTGGCAGTCTATATGACATTAAATCTATTTCGGCAAGAAATATAACAAACTATTCCTTATATCCTGGAGAAGCTGAATCAATTTTATTACCGGGCACTAAAGTAAAAATTATCAAAATAGAACTTGATCCAATGAGCCGTGTTTATGTAATTGAGGTGGAAGCAATTTCATCTGATTCTACTGGTAAATTTATTTGTTTTAATATAAAGAATAGAAGAGTAAGACACGATTAAAAATTGACTTATGTAAATAAAAAATGAAAAGTGAATAACTCGAAGCAATTCTTTAAAATAGTAGTGTAAATAAACTGATAGAGTCATGATAATTTCTAGATGGAAACGTGACTGTCAAATCAACATCCACATCAAAATTAATATCGACACCACCGTTAGATTTAACAGCTGTTCTACCATTGAGTATAGCTACAAGTAACGAAAGGTAACTAAATATCATTACACTGATAAAAAGTCATACGAGAAAATTCTAAAGTTCTGTTTAACATTCATTTGAGAGGCAGTCTTTTCATATGTAATTAAAAAGCATCTAATTGTAGAACTAGTTTGAACGAGAAAACTACAATATTTCAGATAAATTAAAATATCTCAATATATGAAAATTTTTAATATCACATGTTCTGTTATTGTAGAACAACTCTAATAACCATTATGGCTAGTCTTATCTTCGTCTTCACATTATCTGTACACTTGTTTTAACTATTCGCCATTATTATATAAAGTTCTCAAACGACTACAGTTTTAGAACTATTGAACGAATTTATTTGATGGTTTGATACAATTGTAAGTTATGAAAATTTTGTGAATACTTCTAATGTTCGGTCATTACGAATATAATGTCACTTAAAGAGATAGGCTTCAATAGTCTTGATATTGTTGTTTGCAGCTACAAGCTTTCAAAAGCGATGGAATTTTCACAGTGTAGAACTATCACTGAGACCTTCATTTGTGCAAAGTTCCAAGTCCAAAGTCGAAAATAAGTTTTTTCGATATCCCTGAAGGCGACCACAACAATGGGATATCTCTATATCTTAAAAATAGAATATTTCAATAATAACAGAGTTTGGAGAAAATCCATTTTAGAATTTTTACTATCTTAATATATTTAACTAAATGAGGTATGAATGAATGAAAATGCGTGGTATCACCTCAAAAGGTTCCCTCATCAGAGAAGTTCTTAGACTTACAAATCTATGAATAAATCTTTCAAGTTTTGAATGAGAATTTTGTGAATATGTATTAATAAAGATGTTCAATAATCGAAATTACTCTTTAATATCAATAATAACATCAAATTAAACAACTCAAACTTTTCTCTTTATATTCATCGCGACATTATTCGAATGTTATACGATGATTTATATCGTTGATCAGTATTTAATAAATTAATCTTTCTTGAGAGACAAAGAAAATGATAATCACTGTAATAAATCTTTAATCGATTTATGTGAACGCTCTTTTTGATTAATATAAAAATGGCTTCGAAATGCAAACTAAATATGATTGTATTTATGAAAAATCTTAAACATCAAACGTAAGAAAACCGAAAGCAACATTAGCAAGTATCTGTGTTAATTATTTTATATTCGAAATTCTCACAATAGTCCATACCGTTAAGATCTATTTATCTACATAGTTTCAAGTCAAAAATGTAGCCACCTCAGCTCCTATGAAAATATGTCCATTTTAGTTGTATTGCGATATTTTTCATCAACATGATTTCTATACAATATATAACGTTATGTATTCATCAAAAATAAAATCTTTTGAAATAAATTGTCTTATAGACAATCGGACAATTTTATTACATATAATTCTATTTACATAAATCTTACAAATCTTTTATTTTATTTTTTTGTTCTCATAATCATTTTGAATCAAATCATCTGCTAATAATTGTTTTAATTGTTTTAATGTTAATAAATTCTCCACAATATTTTTCGTAACATATTTACATAATCTTATATCAAGAATATTTAATAATTTTAATTTTCGACATATACAATGAATTGTATCATCATCAACTTGTGTTTCTTTTAAATAAAGTCGTCGAATTGTTTTATGAAATGATAATAATGTATCGGTAAATGTACGTGTACGTGTTATACGAAAACAACCATTGAGATTAAGTTCAACTAAATTTGGACATAAATCAGGTAGATAACGTACAGATACAAGTCCAAGACATGATGATTGTTCAAATGAGAAAATTTCTAATTGTTGAAGTGAAAAATTCGTTGTCGAATTTTTCAATGTACATTGAGGAATTTTTAAAAAATCCGCTGTACCTTGAATACTTGTCATTAACATTTCACATTTTGTTAAATAAAGACCTTGAAGATTTGTTGGTAAATATGTTATATTTTTACAGGCGATTGGATTATCACGAAAATCATATTTTGATATATATAAATACCGAAGATTTGGATATGATGTTCGAACAAAATAACTTAATTGTTCAGTATATGGAGATAATTTTATAAGGTTATTTTTCAATTTTTTTACATTTGGTGCACCAGATATTTTTAATATTTCCGTACATGGACGATTAAAACGACGAAAAAATTTCACTAATACTTGATTTGAATAAGATTTCGTTGATAAATCAATTGTTTTCCATAATGTATCATCATATGCAATACGACGAAATAATTGACAAACACTATAAAACATAAAAATGAGTGAACAAGATATTTAGAAAAATTCAGTATGTATTGAAAACGCCGAAGAAAAAAAGGTCGAAAAATCAATTTCGATAAAGAAAATGTCGAATGAAAAAATATCGAATGAATGGAAAATAATCTTTTATGAGGAAGGGTGTGGGTATGGGTGAAGGTGGGTGGGTGTGGGTGTAGGTGAGGGTAGGGTGTGGGTGTATATGTGAGTGTGCGTGAAGGTAGGATGTGGGTGGGAGTCTGGGTGTGAGCGTTTTTATTTTTATTCTACCTACACCTACAGTAGTGACGTATCCAGGATTTGACTGGTGGCTTGGCAATGCCTTACGATTCTCATTTAAATTCATCGACAATGTAGTAAAAAAATAAAGTACCTGGTAAGAATTTTTCTCGGTAGCCTGACAAACAATGGCAGTAGCCTGGCAATGCCAGGCCTTAGATACGCACTAACCCACACCCTCAGTATCGTTTAATAATAACATCTTAAAGTTTCGACATTTCCCACGGGCAGCATTATTGTTTTCGATGAATTTTTGCGTCGATATTTATTTTTCGATCTTTTTTCGTTCGGCAATTTTTTTCGTCAATATTTTTTCTTGCGGCGTTTTCCCTGTAAATCATAAATTCAAATAAACTAACCCAGCAACAAGAATAAGTTCTTCTGTAGAAAAATTTTTAAATAAATAAAGAAGTGTTTCTTCAGGTAATTGAAAGATTAGACCATCTTGTTCGATAATTTCTTCACGTTGTTCTTTCTTTCGTTTTTTACGGAATTTTAAACTCATCTGAAATATAGACAAAATTAATCAGAATCAGAATAATCAACAAGAGATTTATTCGGAAATGATTTAATAGTATCAAACACGGGTGAAAATACTGGTTCGTATTCATTCATTGATAGAAGTGGTAGATCAGGTTTTTTATTAAAAAAATCATCCAAACTTTCAATTTCTAAAGACAAACAAATGTATTATTTCTTATACATATATTAAAATTATGCATACGATTGGTTGATTTCTTTGAATAAAAATCAATTTGTTTTTCGACTGGAATTGTTTTTACGAGAATATTAACATTACTTCCGAATTCTAATTGACCTATTTTTCTTCGAAAATTTTTATGTTCATTTTCTAATTCGGATATTTGTTTGTACATTGATTCAACTTTTTCATCGGTATAACGTACTGATGTTGTTTGCTAAACAAAAAAATACATTATATAATGAGAAAAAAAACGAGATTAAACATACAGCTAATGTCATATGAATTTCTTGTTCAATAATTGGTAACCATCGACGAAGTTCATCAACAGTATGAATTTGTGACTAAAAATAAATAATAAAATTAGATATTTTAGTTATTCAAAACTAAACTTACTAAATGTGGTCGTTTAGGTTTGGCTGTATGAAAAGAGATAAAAACAATTAAAAATATTGAATATATTTGAAATATATACGTGGATTTGATTTTAATAAATATAAACGATTTAATTCATTTTTTTGTTTTTCTTTATTACGAGCCATTTCATAGATACTTACTCTACTCAATCAATTGAACTAAATTTCTCTTTCTTTCAATTGATATCCAATGAAAACGTCATTGAATAATTATACATATGATGGCGCTACTTTTCATTCGAAATATCGTTTAGTTTTTTGATATATGCACATATATATGTCCTCATCAAAATATCCACAATACTTCTATGGTGATATTGAATTTCCAACGATTAAACTTGAAAAGAATATAGAACATAATTGTGAATTAGATGGGTTTTTTCAATTTTATTGTTCTTTTATAACAAAACAATCAAACAAATATATTGCACGACTACCTATATTTGATCAATGTTTATCCTCGATGACTGATATTTAAAGAAAACGAATGTTATTTTTATCTTCTATTTTATGGTTAAAGTTAATAGTGTTGCATTTAATTGCTAAAGTTATATTAATGAAATGAGTATTTGATTTATTCATGTAAACTGCTAAAACAATATTTATGATATTGCATATCATCTAATCGATATCGAATCGTTTTCCAAATGAGTTAGTAATAGTTTATGGTAGATAGAATAAACTAACAACAACTGTTTACGTATCGATATTGATAGAAATATGTGTTTATATTGACTTGTAACAGAAAAACAATGCCGCTGGTCATAAGTTACATATAGTTTTTTTCTAGCTGATTATGTTACTGATTGAGACTATTAGATTTTTAAAATAGATAGGAAAATCGTTACAGTATCGTACTTTAACTTCTGCTATGCATACAAACAAAATTATATTGTAAATTAAAACTTGATCTTTATTTCATTTTGATAGTTATGCCTAAATATCATAGACTAATGATAAAATTCCGAGAAATGCTCGTCCAAAATCTTTATTAATTCAAAATCTGCTAATATAAGATAAAATCTACGGAATGAGATTGATTTAATTGATGTTATAAACTTTATTTTTCTTCAAGTACTTTTCCAGCAAATTTAGCCACTAAAAAGAAAATAAAAAAAATGTATATTCATGTAACACATTTACTATAATTAATTATTTACTTTTAGAATTGATTGGTAATTGAGCATGTGCTTTTGTTATATAATCTCCTACTCTTGGTAATTCACGAATTGTTTTCATAAACTGTTTGATGTTAGAAAATTTATCAACTAAAGTATGTTCTTCATCCATTGCTAAATTAGCATCGATATACTCATATAACTGAAAATCAGCTACAGTTGGATGATCACCAACAGCAAACTTAGTTTTATGTTTTCCAAAATAATCATCGAACTTTTTTAACTCTTCAGATATAACTGTGTCAACGCAGTTTTTTCTTCCTTCTTTGGTTGCTCCTTCTGGGCCATAAGCTACGGGTGCTGTTTTCATCCGAAAGTCATGGGCTTGTTCACAGAGCATCATTACATGTGCTTCTTCAGTTGGAGTCTTTCCCATGAGATTTGCTTTTCGTCCAATATAATATAAAATAGCTCTAGACTGAGTCATCTTCAAATCACCATCAAATAAATATGGTAAATTTGGAAAATCTAAAAATATTAAAATTATAATAATGAAAGAAAAGAATATGAGCTTTTAATTATTTACCAAGACCCTGACTTTGTTTTACGCTAAACCATTCATCTAGACTAAATTCTGGACCTTCACCTTGTTGGTAAAGTTTTTCTGTATACGGTGTGTTAGAGTAATGTAAAGCCAAACGAATTGGTTCAGCTAATCCACGAATTGCCCAATAGCCAAGTACAAGTTGATTTTTCTCCGTATCTGATGCAGACATTTTTTTCAGTTTATACTTTTAGAAAACAATCTAAAACGCAAATAAGTAGAAGAAACAACAAAGTATTTGGCACGTATGTCTCGATAAATAACAGCAAGGGTGCGTGAGCCACAAGTGCATCATGTGACTTTTATTTATACGAAAAAAGCGTATTGCCAATAAAGGTAGCTGTCGATTTGTTTTTCTCTTATACACGTCATCTTATTTATGAAGTGAATATGAAATCATCATATGTTATTAATATTCTTTTTAAAACACATATAACGAATATCGAGTTATTTTAATAAATGAATACGATAAACGTCATAATAGAGAAGCGCAACTTCTCTTTATTGCTCAGGAATAAACATTATTTTATTTTGACAGTTAAGATTAAATATAAAATACTAATGATAAAATTCAGCAACAATCGCGTGCAAAATCTTCATTAGTTAAAAATTCGCTAATATAAGATAAAATCTACGGAATAATACTGATTTAATTGATGTTATGAACTTTATTTTTGTTCAAGTACTTGTCCAGCGAATTGAGCCACTGAAAATAAAATCAAGAAAAAATGTATATTCATGTATCATAATCATTATACTTATTTATTTACTTTTAGCATTGAGTGGTAATTGAGCATGTGCTTTAGTTATATAATCTCCTACACTTGGTAATTCACGAACTGTTTTCATAAATTGTTTGATGTTAGGAAGTTTTTCAATTAGAGTATGTTCTTCATCGATTGCTAAACCAGCATCGATATACTCATACAACTGAAAATCAGCTACAGTTGGATGATCACCAACAGCAAACTTAGTCTTATGCTTTCCAAAATAATCATCAAACTTTTTTAACTCTTCAGATACAACTTTGTCAGCGAAGTTTTTTCTTCTTTCTTTTGTTGTTCCTTCTTGACCATAGAATACCTCGTATGTTTTCAGTCGAAAATCATGAGCTTGTTCACAGAGCATCATTACATAAGCTTCTTCAGTTGGAGTCTTTCCCATAAGATTTGCTTTTCGTCCAATATAATATAAAATAGCTTTTGATTGAGTCATCTTCAAATCACCATCAAATAAATATGGTAAATTTGGAAAATCTAAGAATATCAGAATTATAATATTCAAAGAAAAAAACCTGAACTTCTATTTATTTACCAAGACCAACGTTTTGTTTTTCCCTAAGCCATTCTTCTCGACTAAATTCCAGACCTTTACCTTGTTCATAAAGTTTTTCTGTATAAGGTGTGTTAGAATAATGTAAAGCCAGACGAATTGGTTCAGCAAATCCACGCATTGTCCAATAGCCAAGTACAAGTTGATTTTTGTCAGTATTTGATGTCGACATTTCTTTTCAATGTATACCTTTAGAAAAAGATGTAAAACGCAAATAGGTGGAAGAAACAACGAAGTCAATGATATGTATACCTAGATCAATAAAGAAAAGAGTATGTGAGCCACAACTCCATCATGTGACTTCTATTTATACGAGAACACAGCATATACCTTATCAAATTACTTCAATTGTGGCTTTCGATTCGTTTTTCTCTTAAACGTGTCATTTCTCTATCTATGAAGTGAATATGAGGTCGCCTTATGTTATTAATATTTTTTTAAACACACCTGGTGAATATCGAATAGTTTTAATATGAATAAATATGACCTCTTCTAAGAATAACGTCTAATAAATGCAATATACAATAGTCTTTTCTCAACATAAATTAGAAAATGAAAACAATAAACGCCATAACAGATAAGCGCTACCTATTTTTATTGCTCAGCGACAACTTTTATTTTATTTAGATAGTGAAGATTAAATATAAAAGATCAATGATAAAATTTCGAGAAATTCTCACGCAAAATCTTTATTAATTCAAAATCCACTAATATACGATGAAATCTACCGAATGATATTGATTGGATCGAAGTTATGAACTTTATTTTTGTTCAAGCACTTTTCCTCCGAATTTCGCCACTAAACATGAAATAAAAAGAAAACACATATTCATGTATCACATTCACTATAATTAATTATTTACTTTTAGCATTGAGTGGTAATTGAGCATGTGCTTTTGTTATATAATCTCCTACTCTTGGTAATTCACGAATTGTCTTCATAAATTGTTTGATATTAGGAAGTTTATCAATTAAAGTGTGTTCTTCATCCATTGCTAAACCTGCATCAATGTAGTCATATAACTGAAAATCAGCTACAGTTGGATGATCACCAACAGCAAACTTAGTTTTATGTTTGCCAAAATAATCATCGAATTTTTTTAACTCTTCAGATACAACTTTGTCAACGCAGTTTTTTCTTCCTTCTTTTGTTGCTCCTTCGTCACCATAGAAAACGGCGGATAGCTTTCCGCGAAAGTCATGGGCTTGTTCACATAACATCATTACATGCGCTTCTTCAGTTGGAGTCTTTCCCATAAGATTTGTTTTTCGTCCAATATAATATAGAATCGCTTTTGATTGAGTCATCTTCAAATCACCATCAAATAAATATGGTAAATTTGGAAAATCTAAAAATATCGGAATTATAATATTCAAAGAAAAAAATATCAGGGTTTTTATTTACCGAGACCAAGATTTTGTTTTTCACTAAGCCATTCTTCTCGACTGAATTCTGGACCTTCCCCTTGGTGGTAAAGTTTTTCTGTATAAGGTGTGTTAGAATAATGTAATGCCAAACGACTTGGCTCAACTAATCCACGGAGTGCCCAATAGCCAAGTACGAGTTGATTTTTGTCAGTATTTGATGTCGACATTTGTGTTCAATTTATACTTGTAGAAAATAATCTAAAACACAAATATATAGAAAGAAACAACAAACTAAATGATATGTATATCTCGATAAAAAAAAGAAAGGGTGTGTAAGCCACTACTCTATCCTGTGCCTTCTATTTATACGAAAAAAATGGACTTCTTATTAAATTGTCAACAAGTGTGGCTCTCGATTTGTTTTTCTCTTATACGCGTCATTTTTTTATTTATGAAATGAATATGAGGTCGCCAAAGATTATTAATATTTTTTTTAAACACAGCTGGTGAATATCGAATCGTTTTGATATGAATAAATATGAGCTCTTTTAAAAACAACGTCTAATAAAAGCAATATACAATAGTCTTTTCTCAACGTAAATTAGAAAATGAATACAATAAACGGTATAATAGAGAAGCGGAACATCTTTCAATTGCGCAGGAATAACTCTTATTTTATTTTGATAGTTAAGATTAAATATAAAATACTAATGATAAAATTTCGAGAAATTCTCGTGCAAAATCTTCATTAATTAAAAATCCGCTAGTATAAGATAAAATCTACCGAACGATATTGATTTAATCGAAGTTATGAACTTTATTTTTGTTCAAGTACTTTTCCACCGAATTTAGCAACTAAAATGAAATAAAAACAATATATATATCCATGTATCGCAAGTAGTAATTAATCATCTACCTTTGTTATTGAGTGGCAATTGAGCATGTGCTTTTGTTATATAATCTCCTACTCTTGGTAATTCACGAATTGTTTTCATAAATTGTTTGACATTAGGAAATTTTTCAATTAAAGTATGTTCTTCATCCAATGCTAAAGCTCCATCAATATAACAATATAACTGAAAATCAGCTACAGTTGGATGATCACCAACAGCAAACTTAGTTTTATGTTTGCCAAAATAATCATCAAATTTTTTCAACTCTTCAGATGCAACTTTATCAACGAAATTTTTTCTGCCTTCTTTTGTTGCTCCATCTGGACCATAGAATACGCTGACTGATTTCATCTGAAAATCATGAGCTTGTTCACATAACATCATTACATGAGCTTCTTCAGTTGGAGTCTTTCCCATGAGATTTGTTTTTCGTCCAATATAATATAGAATAGCTTTTGATTGAGTCATCTTCAAATCACCATCAAATAAATATGGTAAATTTGGAAAATCTAAAAATATTAAAATGATAATAATGAAAGAAAAAATATGAACTTTTATTTATTTACCAAGACCAAGATTTTGTTTTTCGCTAAGCCATTCTTCTCGACTAAATTCTGGACCTTCGCCTTGTACATAAAATTTTTCTGTATAAGGTGTGTTAGAATAATGTAAAGCTAAACGAGATGGTTCAACTAATCCGCGAATTGCCCAATAGCCAAGTACAAGTTGATTTTTGTCAGTATTTGCGGCAGACATTCTTTTCAATGTATACTTTTAGAAAATAAAATCTAAAACACAAATATGTAGAATACACGACTAACAGAAAGAACGAAGTAAATGATATGTATGCCTCGATAAAAAAAAAAGAAAGGGTGTGTAAGCCACTACTCTATTGTGTGACTTCTATTTATACGAACGAAAAAAGCACTGCTTATCAAATTGTCAACAATTGTGGCTCTCGATTTGTTTTTCTCTTATGCACGTCATCTTATTTATGAAGTAAAAATGAGGTCGCCATATGTTAACAGTACTATTTTAAACACACCTGGCGCATAGCGAGTAATTTCGATAAATGAATATGATAAAATATAACCACTTTTAAGAACTACGCCTTAAAAAAAATTATACAATAGTCTTTTCTCAACATTAGTTAGAAAGTGAATACGATAAATGTCATAGTAGAGACGCGCAGCCCTTTTTTTATTGCTCAGGAATAACCTTTATTTTATTTTGATACTTAAGATTAAATATAAGAGATTAATGATAAAATCCCGTAAAAATCTCGTGCTAAATCTTTATTAATTAAAAATCCGCTAGTATAAGATAAAATCTACCGAATGATATTGATTTGAATGAAGTTATGAATTTCATTTTTGTTCAAGCACTTTTCCACCATATTTAGCCTCTAAAGATAAAAGAAACAGAAAAAAATGCATATTCATGTATCATAATCACTATAATTAATTATTTACGTTTAGCATTGAATGGCAATTGAGCATGTGCTTTGGTTATATAATCTCCTACTCTTGGTAATTCACGAATGGCTTTCATAAATTGTTTGATATTAGGAAGTTTGTCAATTAAAGTATGTTCTTCATCGACTGATAAACCCACAGCAATATTGTCATATAACTGAAAATCAGCTACAGTTGGATGATCACCGACAGCAAACTTAGTTTTATGTTTGCCAAAATAATCATCGAATTTTTTCAAATCTTCAAATATAAATCTATCAACAGAACTTTTTCTCCCTTCTTTGGTTGCTCCTTCTTGGCTATAGACTACGCCAGCTACTTTTACCCGAAAATCATAGGCTTGTTCACATAACATCATTACATGAGCTTCTTCAGCTGGAGTCTTTCCCATAAGATTTGTTTTTCGTCCAATATAATATAAAATAGCTTTTGATTGAGTCATCTTCAAATCACCATCAAATAAATATGGTAAATTTGGAAAATCTAAGAATATCGGAATTATAACATTTAAAGAAAAAAATATCAGCGTTTTTATTCACCGAGACCAAGATTTTGTTTTTCGCTAAGCCATTCTTCTTTACTAAATTCTGGACCTTCACCTTGGTGATAAAATTTTTCTGTATAAGGTGTATTTGAATAATGTAAAGCCAAACGAATTGGTTCAGCTAATCCACGAAGTGCCCAATAGCCAAGTACAAGTTGATTTTTGTCAGTATTTGATGTCGACATTTTTTTTGAATGTATACTTTTAGAAAATAAAATCTAAAACATAAATAAGTGGAAGAAACGGCAAAGTAAATGGCATGTATGTCTGGATAAAAAAAGAAAGGGTGTGTAAACCACTACTCTATCGTACGATTTCTATTTATACGAAAAGAAAACATACTGCTTATCAAATGGTCAACTATTGTGGCTCTCAATTTGTTTTTCTCTTACACACGTCATCTTATGTGTGAAGTAAAAATGAGGTCGCCATATGTTAACAGTATTATTTTAAACACACCTGGCGCATAGCGAGTAGTTTCGATAAATGAATATGATAAAATATAACCACTTTTAAGAACAACGCTTTAAAAAAAATTATACAAGTCTTTTCTCAATATAAATTAGAAAGTGAATACGATAAATGTCATAATAGAGAAGCGCAACTTCTTTTTATTCCTCACGAATAACCTTTATTTTATTTTGATAGTTACGATTAAATATAAAATACTACTAATAAAATTTCGAGGAATTCTCATGCAAAATCTTTATTGATTAAAAACTCGCCAATATAAGATAAAATCTATGGAATCATATTGATTTCAACAAAGTTATGAACTTTATTTTCGTTCAAGCACTTTTCCACCATATTTAGCCACTAAAAATAAAAGAAAAAGAAAATACATATTCATGTATCACAATCACTATTATTAATTATTTACTTTTAGCATTGAATGGCAATTGAGCATGTGCTTTAGCAATATAATCTCCTACTCTTGGTAATTCACGAATTGTTTTCATAAATTGTTTGATGTTAGAAAATTTATCAATTAAAGTATGTTCTTCATCCATTGCTAAATTAGCATCGATATACTCATATAACTGAAAATCAGCTACAGTTGGATGATCACCAACAGCAAACTTAGTTTTATTTTTTCCAAAATAATCCTCAAATTTTTTTAACTCTTCAGATATAACTGTGTCAACGCAGTTTTTTCTTCCTTCTTTTGTTGCTCCTTCTGGACCATAAAATACGGGTGCTGTTTTAATCCGAAAATCATGAGCCTGTTCACATAACATCATTACATGAGCTTCTTCAGCTGGAGTCTTTCCCATAAGATTTGTTTTTCGTCCAATATAATATAGAATAGCTTTTGATTGAGTCATCTTCAAATCACCGTCAAATAAATATGGTAAGTTTGGAAAATCTAAAAATATCCAAATGATAATAATGAAGAAAAGAATATCAACGTTTTTATTTACCGAGACCAAGATTTTGTTTTTCGCTAAGCCATTCTTCTCGACTGAATTCTGGACCTTCACCTTGGTGGTAAAGTTTTTCTGTATAAGGTGTGTTAGAATAATGTAAAGCCAAACGAATTGGTTCAGCTAATCCACGAGTTGCCCAATAGGCAAATACAAGTTGATTTTTGTCAGTATTAGATGTAGACATATTTTGTTCAAGTTATACTTTTAGAAAATAAAATCTAAAACACAAATAAGTGGAAGAAACAACAAAGTAAATGATATGTATATCTCGATAAAGAAAAAGAAAGGGTGTGTAAGCCACAACTCCATCGTGTGACTTCTATTTATATGAAAAAAAACATATTGCAAATAAAGGTGGCTGTCGATTTGTTTTTCTTTTATACGCGTCATCTTTTTATTTATGAAGTGAATATGAGGTCGCCATATGTTATTAATATTTTTTTAAACACACCTGGCGAATATCGAGTAATTTTAATAAATGAATCTGATAAAGTATAACTTCTTTTAACAACAACATCTAAAAGAAGAATTATACGAGTCTTTTTTCATCGTAAATTAGAAAATAGATACGATAAACGCCATAACAGATAAGCGTAACTTCTTTTTATTGCTCAGCAATAACCTTTATTTTATCTCTTACCTTGGTTTGAAGGAATTCTCTATGTTTATCGTCTGATATAAATAGGAACATCTATATTCTTTCTATTATTGAATTATAATGAAATGCAAAAATAGAAGAAATATCTGCTTTTGACGAATATATTCATACACTCATATATGAAAATGTTAAACTTTCATGATATTTGCAGCTGCTACGTCACCAGTTGTTCCACACCTTTCAAGTCCATATCTCATTGATTTGTAAATGTCATGAAAGATCCACATCTGCATATATGTGCATAATTATCTTTTATTTAATTACAATTTAATAATAGAAAGAATATAAATACGCATATTTATATCAAATGATAAACATCAATATGAGAACTAATATTTAGAATATTCTTCAAGCAGTATTGCTTCCTGATTGATCTTCTATTTTTTTACCATTCATAAATAATTAAACTGAGCGAGAATATTATTTAATAGAAAGAACTTGATCATTAAACAATTACATAAAAAGCATTATTAAACAAAAAAAAACAAAACAAAGCGCAAATAATAATAATAGTTTTATATTCAATCCTGAGGATTGTAGCATAAAAAGATATATAAACATGCAATTTTAGAATAATATAAATATAATTTACAAGAAATGGATAATTAAGTTGTTGCTGATTTTTCACTTTCATCAGTTTTGGCTGGTTCTTCTTTCTTTTTTTCTTCATGTTGAACAGCTTTACCACCAAATTTAGCCATTTTACCATTTATTGGGCGTTTAGCGTGTTCACTTTCGAGATATTTTTTTAATTCAGGTAATTCACGAAATGCTTTCATATAAGCAAGAATTTTCGGATATTCAGCCCAATTATCATTGGATAAAATCCAACAATGATCAAGATATTCAAATACTTGAAAATCAGCAGCTGTTAAATTATCTCCTATTAACCATTTTTTTCCTTGTCGTTTAAGAAAATCTTCGAATAATTTTAAATGTATTGGTAAAGTTTCATCGCAAAATTTCTTGCTTACAGCATCAAAATTAATAGCACGATAACAAACATTATTTAATTCTTGTCGTAAATCATTTGATTGATCAATAAGTAATTCAATTAATGATGTTTCTCGTTCATTATTACCCATTAATTTAAATTTACGACCAAGATGTGTTAAAATTGTTTTCGCTTGTGATAATTTTAAATCTCCATCAATTAAATATGGTAAATTTGGAAAATCAAGTCCAAGAGAATTTTTTTCTTTAAGCCATTCTTCACGTTTAAAATCTGGTGCATCACCAAAATGATATAATTTATTTGTAAATGGTGTTTTAGTATAATGAAGTAATAAACGTGATGGTTCAGCAAAACCTCGAATATCCCAATAACCAAGTATAACTTGATCTTTTGATGCCATGACTTATTTTTAGATAGCAAAATTTAAGTATAATGCACTAGATTGGTACGCTTTTATCTATAGGATATATATGATTTTCTTATGTGAGAAAGAGAAAGAACGATAGAGTATACATATAGAGTTCGTTGAGAGTAGTATTGGTATAGAGGAGGAAAAAAAAGCAGATATATTCCAGAAGAAAAGCGACGCTTGGAACAGTTGTATATGTATTCCTCTTCTTTTTTTTCTTATTTGTCCGCCTACATATACATAGACCGAAATAACATCATTCAACCTACTTATATGATGCGTTACCGACACAGTACAAATAATAGATTATGTTTCATTGGCTTGTTATTATGCTTGCCTACAAGAAAAATATCACAAATAAATAGACATTTAGACTGTAGTGGTACAATATTTATCTATTTTTTATTGCTAAAGTATCATATATGATAATATGTAACTGTTTGATTGAACATTGATTTTATGTATTACAACAAGTACATACGAAAAGTAAAAATTAGTTTTATTTTTATAGTTAGTAAAACACACAATAAAATGTTAGTACTATTCTATTAATATTTATAACAAATAGATGAAAATAAAGCAGATGAATATATATTGCTGGAATAGAAGTAGACAATAACTGAGTATGTAAAATATTGAGAATAAAATAAAACTAATTGTATAAGCTGGAATAAATTGATTTGGAAAATATTGAAAATTTATTTTTTTCCACCTTTGTCTTTTGCATCACCACCTTTTTTATCATCACCACCTTTTTTGTCATCACCACCTTTTTTATCAGCACCACCTGATTTATCGGCACCGCCTGACTTATCGGCACCACCTGATTTATCGGCACCACCTGATTTATCAGCACCACCTGATTTATCGGCACCGCCTGATTTATCGGCACCACCAGATTTATCAGCACCCCCTGACTTATCGGCACCGCCTGATTTATCATCTTTGCCTTTGGAATCTTTTTTTTTGTCATCTTTTGGATCTTCTTTACTACCGCCTAACATTTTATAACCAGCATCTAGAAAACAATAAACTATAGAAAAACTTAGGAGAAGTTTGATACGTACAGAGACCGATGGCAACTACAGCAACAGCACCGAGTTTACCTGCTGGTGTTTCTAAAAATGCTTGATTTCCAGCAGGTCCACTGAAAACAAGAAAAATATCATTTTAGTAGATTAGAAAATAAAAAGAAAAGTTTTGCATCTGTTTACCCAAGTGGTGGAATGTTTTTCTTAGCACTAGGATCACTGCTGGCAGCAGGAGGAATAGCAGAATTGAAATTACCTGGTGGTGGAATACCCTAAATTAAATTTATTAGAATGATATTTCAATTTAGATTATAATTAAAACAATACTTTGCCTGCTGTTGGTGTCGTTTGAGTAGTTTGAGTACGTGTAATTAAAGTAGGCATATATCGAGGAATTTGGAGCATAGCTCGTGTTGGACATAGACGTGACGCCATAGTTTTAGTTTAATTTTCAAATAAATCTATAAATGCAAATCAAAAGAAAAAGATATCTATTGAGGTAAATTCTCTTTAAAAGTCATTCATTAACAGGAAAGTGAAAGAGAATATTATCGATGCTTCAGTTTCAATACAATAAAATATTAGATAGGGGAGTATATTCAATGTGCTTTCGTATTTGTTGATGGATTAAGTGTTTCATGAGGCTTTTTTGGATTATTGTCTACAGCTAATTTAGCATGAACATCAGATTCAGATTGAAGATCTGGTCTTGTTATACGTGCTTGTTTATCTCGAAAGTTTGCTTTTTGATCAGGTGAATTGCCAAGTAACATTTTATAAGCTCCATCTTTAAAAATAAAATTAATACTAATTTATTGAAATTGAATTGACTGTTTATAAACTTACAAAGTGACACGAGCGCAACTGCTGCAATACCAAATTGACCAACGGGACTTTTCAAAATGGATTGATGTCTATAAAAATATAAAAATTTAGTTATAAAAAGATAATTATTCTTTTTATTCATACGCTTTATCTGATCCACCAGTTGATCCATGTGATTGTTTCGCATCTCCTGTTGTTTTTGTAGGATTTGTTTTATCGTGTGCTTTTTGAGCACCTGGCAACATACTAGCACTACTACCACCTCCAATACCTGTTTTTGTTGATGCAGATGAACCATCTGTAGCAATAAATTGACCAGAGCCAGATACAACATGTTGTCCACTTTTAGCTTCAGGTGCTTTAACAGATGAACCAGGCGGTAAATTATGTGCATTCATACGAGAAACATAAAATACATTCGATGTAGTACGTGACATAAGACGACAAAAATTAGACATATTTGGGTTTTTCCTTGGATAGAAAATATCTAAAAATACGGTACAATACAAATAATTATTCATATACATGTGTATAAACGATTTGTTTTTCTTGATTCACTCGTGCATAACATCGTATTACACCCCGTTTCTAGATTTATATATCCATGAAAAAATATTAAACCAAATACACTCATTCATGCGATTAAAAATAAAAGTACAAAACGATTCTTTTTTTTCGTCTTCTATGTTTAAATATCACAGGTTGTAATTATTGTAAATTAATATCTGATAAATTAAATAAATCGAAAAGAAAATCATTCAAAAAATAAATAAATAAAAATCATTGAGCAATTGTAGGAAATGCAGTAATACGAAGTCGTGCTGCACCCATTGGTATTAATGTAAGCATTTCATCGGGTTCTTGACTTTTAACAGGTGATTGTGGTAATAATCCAATTACATTTTGACTATCTGCTTTCCATTCCGGTATACGACGACCACGAACTTCAATATTTAATGGAATATTATTTCTTGTAAAAGGATTTTCACATCCAATTTTCTTCTTATGACGTTTAATTAACCATTCATTTGTACGTGATAGATCTAAACCATAATTCCAATTTGATTTTGATATAACTTCATATTCAGGCCAATCATCTGTACCACCAATACGATTATATTGTTCATTGATAGCTAATGAAAATGTTAGAGGACCATAACTAATTGAAACTGCATTATGATTCGATGTCCAAGTTTTTGTATTTAATTGTAATGGTATTGTAAATGATAAAATATCATCATTGACCCAAAGACGATCAAGAATAAGATATGAACCATCATTTGGTGTTTTTTCATTAAATATAACATCTCCATTTAATGAAAGTGTTGGTGCTTTACGACACCAACGTGGTATTCGTAAATAAAGTTTAAATTGTGTTGATGTTGTTAATTGAAAACGAAATTCGACTTTTCCATCAAATGGATAATCTGTTTCTTCAATAATTGTTACTTGACTACGATTATTTGTACCAACAAATGCTGTTACTTGACTTGATACATATAATGAAGCACATAGACCACCATCATAAGTAGCTAACCATGCTTCTTCAGCATAATATGGCCATCCCATGCCATAATTATGTGTACAACAACGATATTGATGAACTTCTGGTTTATATGAAAGCATGGCAAAATTATTTTGAAATTGTTGTTGACTTTTAACTTGATCATCGAGTTGAATACAATTTGCACATGTTATATAATGTGTACCACGTGCAACAAAAGGATCAAATGCAGCTGGTAAAGAATTAAATGCTAATGTTTCACTTCGATCAATCCATGTACCATCACCTGTAATTCTTGTAAGAATTTGAAAACTATTCATTAATTCAACAATACCACATGTTTCAATACCTTGTCGAGGATCACCATAACCTTCTCGACAATTTTCATCTCCAGCAAAACCTCCACCTGGAAATTGTCCATATTTATTCATTACAGTTTCATAATCATCATAGCTAGCTTGTAAATAACGAGAATCAGGTGGATTAGCAACAAGTGAATAAAGTGCTGGTTCACGAAATCCTTGTGCAATATTTACATTATGCCATGTTGGTAAACCACTAATCCAATCAGGTGAATTTAAATGAATTTTTTTAATTAAATCAAGTAACCAATTTGTATCAGTTGTTCGATTATATAACCAAATAATTGTATCAATATTATCAGCCCATCTAACAGCGCCCCAACCTCGCATATATACAGCAACTGGTTGTTCATTTACGAATTGAAAATATTTCAAAAGAAATGGAATAACACGTGTATCATTTGTATATTCATAAAACGAACGAAAAACATTCAGTAATGGCATTGCTGGCCAAAAATCAGGAAGGCCATCAAGTGATGTACGTAAATTATTTGGACCAAACCATCCATCCGATTGTTGACTACTTAAAATACCATCAATCCAACGATTTGCTAATTTTAATGTATCTTGATCACCAGTTACAAAACCTAGATCAGCAAATCCTCGTAACCAATATGGTAATTCTTCCCAACCTACTTTTGTTGGATCAGTCCAACCACATTGTTCGTAAACAAGATAATCGGATATATCCGAAAGTTTTCCATTTAAACCATTTATTTGTAATCTCAGTTGACCAAGTAACCAACCATCAGGTTTTATTGAACCAGGTGGAAGCTTTTGAAATGGTACTGGTTGAAGCGGTGCTCGATTTGGATAATAATAACCAGTTGATATATCATTCGATGATATTTTTACACGACTAACAACTTGAATTGTCATCTAAAATAATTTTATATCTAAAAAAAACAGCAAAAATCTTTGTCATAAAAAAAAGGAAACAAACAAATGATTTTTTAATCGAAATAACCGAATACATCTTTCACGATACATGTTTTTTATATATGAAAATAATTACATACTGTCAAAAGAAAAAGAAAAACCTGTACACCATCACATTAGAAGCAAAATACCAAATTGGAAGAATCAATAGAGGGTTATATTTAAAAAAAAAGAAGAAGAACCGTAACAAATAATTGAATTTTGTTCACAACGAGCATTGCACATAGATATAAAGAATGTAAACAACAAAAAATAGAATATTAATTTGACTAGTTAGACATATATATATATGTATATACATCTTACTGTTAATAGAAGAAATGAATATTAAGAAAGAAATAGAATTTGTGGTGGCGGCGTAGTTGATGTTGATGATGATAGACGACTTTCAATTGTATGTAAATGTCGTTCACGATCAGCTACATATAATCGACGTCGATCAACTTTTGATACACACATAGCAACAATTGGATGTGATCGTAATTGAGGAAAATCAAGTTGTCGTAATAATGTTAAATCCCATGTTGACCACATTGATATAAGACCATTTTCAAACCCACCTAATAAAACATTAACACATGTACCTTCAGGTGCTGATGTAAAACATAAACAATTTAATTGTTCAGAAAATGTTAAACAACCAATTAAATCACAATTACATGTTAAATAAGATAAATGCCATTGACTACCACTTGATGATAAATATGCAATATCACCTGTTGTTTCAGATGATGTTAAATGATAGATTGTTTGATTATCTTGTTTATATGTTCGAACATAAGATAAACTAAAAAAAGAGAAATAATTTTAGGTATTATATTATATAATAGAAACATACCGATTTGTATCCCATAATGTTAACATTCCATCAGCACTTGCACTAATTAATAAACTAAATTGTCGATTCGTATGTAAACAAGTAATTGGTGAACGATGTGCAATAAATGGTAAAAAACGTTTAATTAATTCAATACCAACTAAACTATTTTTATTTCGTTTAATTCGATAAACTTCAATTAAACCGGATGTTTTACCCATAAATAAAAATCTATAATCAATTGATGTACAACATGTTGTTTTATCTTGATCATCAATAGGTACAAGAAAATTATACCAATTTTTCATTTGTCTTAATTGTCTACAACGTACAATATAATCTGGTGTATTCCATTTTAATGCAACCATTGTATCTATGGGTAATGCTGTTGAAGAATTTGATTGTGATATATTATTTTGTTCACCATTCGATTCATTTAATATTTGTTCATTATGTACAATTAATGATGATGATGGTAAACACATAATACATGTACCTGTATTAAATACAACAAATGATGATACTTGTATAGCACAATCATGACTTGTTATATAATCTGGTGATGGCATATCATACGAACCAATAAAATCACCCCAACGTACACCAATTATTAAACGATGAATACTTTCAATAGGTAGTTTAGATTCAAAAACATTTCGTTCACTATTACGTTTATCATTTCCAGATGAATTTAATATTGAAATTGATGTGGAATTATTTCCATTAGATGATGGATGTGGTTGAGAAAATAATTGCTAAAATTATATATATATTTTTTACTAAATAAAAATATCAAACAAAATTTACTTTAGGTACTTGACCATATGTACGAATAATTCCATAATAAGCATTTAAAGCTACTTGATCTGTAATAGATTCAGTTGGAAAACCATAATAACATGCAGAATAATATATATTACTTGCATCAAGAGCTGCTTTTCCTATTTACAAATAAAATTTTGAAAAAAAAGATTTTAATCTATAAATATACCTGTTTGTTTATATCCAAATATAAGATCAATCCATTGATGTAAATGACTAGTAACATAATCAGATTCAAGAGCTTGTCGAAGGCCACATACAAATAAACGAGCATTTCGTTTTGACCATGCTGGGACTGCAACATCAGAAACTGTATTACCCTACAAAATTTGAATGAAAACAAATAAATAAATTAAAGATTTTAATGATTATATATTTTTCTTACATTTTGTCTTTTACCAAAATTAAAACCTTGTTTATTTAATAGAAATTCATTTAGATAATAAAATTCTGGTATGATCTCTTTCGAATCTGATGTTGATTCGAATGATGATAACCAATAGGATGTTTTAACATCATGAAAAGTTCGATCAGCACAATCAAAATGATTATCTTGATAATCAAGAAACATTCGTGTATATGGTAAAAGACGAACAAGATAATGAAGAACAACACCAGAATTTGAATATAATGATGAATAATGATATGGATCATATTGATGACTATGTAGATTTGATGATTTTCGTTCATCATTATCTTGCTGAGATGGTACATTACGCATTTGAATTTCTTTAAGATCATTATATGAATCAATGACTTTTTCTTCTTTTTCAGGAGATTGAATAGATATTGGTTTTGAAAGATTACGATAACTTGATGCAGCGCGTAAATCAAGTGTTGTATTTTCATAATTTGCAACTATATATGGATAAACAGGATATTGCATTAAGTCTATAACAAAAATCCAATACAATATTTATTATTTCATACATGAAAAAAACATTTTCTATTGATATTTACCTAAATATGATCTACCACCTAGTTTATTTAATTGCATTAAATAATCAAAATTTGTCATATGACCATGTTTCCATGATGTTTGAATATCCTGTACTGTTTGTCCATGTTTTAAATGTATTAAATTACGTTTTGTTAATAATTTATAAAGATTTTCTCGATCATTAAATGAAACATGTGCAATCATTAATGTGATACCATTAATAAAAAATAATTCCAGTGCAACATCTTTTAACATATGACGTCTTTTAAACATTTCACATATATCTTGAATACCAAGTGAAAATGAATTTGAATCATCATTAAATGAATGATGATTATAACCAATTGTTGTCATAGCTGAATTAACACTTTTAGTTTTTTTTATTGTAGATAAACGTTCATCAGCTACAAAATAAATTCGTGTTGTACCAACAAGTAATTCACCTTTTATTTCATTATTTGGTGTTACATTCATACAACGACATTGAAATTCAAGTTTTTCATTACGATAAAGAACTGTTTGTAAATTAGCCGATTGATAATGACGTATACCAAATAAATAAGATAATGGAGGACTAACAAGTGTTTCACCGGGTACTTGAGGTTGAAAAAACTGTTTTTCCATTAAACAATATGAACGTTGTAAACGTCGACGTTCACGTTGTGGACTTTCTGTTGGATCAAGTTCCCAAAATTTTGGATAAGATAATGATTCAAACCATACACCATATTCATGTGTTAATTGAGATATTAACTGATGCCATAAATGTTTTGTACGTAAATCAAGACTTTGTGTTAAACGAAGATGTTCAAGAAATTTTTTACGTTCAAAACTTTGAAGACTTATAACATCTTGTGTTATATCCATTGCACGTGATGCTATAGTTGTTATTGTTACTTCTTTAAATGCTTTTAGAGAATTTTTTTGTGCTGATAATAAACGTTTTTGTGTTGCTTCGATAATTTGATTTAAAGTGTTCGTATATTCACTACGTTTTTCTTCAACAACTGATGACCAACTGACAAAGAAAGGCGATGGCGATGGTGAAAGATGTGAACGACGACGTGTACGATCTGGTGAAACTGGTGTTTGAGTATTATTTGTCGTTAAATTTTCCGGTGACGGTACAGATGTTGGCCAATTAAATGAATGACGTGCAGGTGCCATTTGCGTATTAGCACGAAGAAGTTGGGCAGCTAAATAAAAAAAATTTTTATTTATGAGATAAGACAAAATAAGTGTGTTCGATATAAATCGGCTTCTCCGAGCGTAACGCGATGATGTGTTGGCTACAGTTTTATTGGCTTTTCTCATCGACTAGGTAGTGTAGAAGGTTCATCGTCTCAGTGAAAGATGTACCTCTATCATCCCCACAATCTATGAAACTATTACCGCATCTGAAAGAGCCGTCGGAAAATCACAGTGAAAATATACGACGAAACGCGATGATGAATTAGGGACAAAAATTGAGGGTGCTCCACTTTTTGCTTGTTGTTCTCTGAATATATTCTACTGTTGCAAAACTTTTCTATCAGCGGGTAATAGAAAACACTTCAGTCTATTCAACGAAGGAAGAAAAGTCTCCAAAGATCTTTTTATGGAGGGTGATATTTTTGTCACATTAACGTAACGCGGTGATGAAAGTCCCATGAGGGTCTTTGAGAACTTAGTGAATGTGAGTCTGACCTCTCACTGTTGTAGTCTAGAACAACATGCAACCATTTGATGCGATACTACAGAAGACTACAGTCACGATATTTAGATCGAAAGTTTTAAAGTCTGGTCCTCTGAGTTGACGCGTTACGCGTTTTAGTCGAAATATAAACTATCTCGAAAAATGTATACTTACGTGTTGCTGGTGTTAGTTTAAGTAAATGATCAGTAAGTGCTCGTCGTTGTGCTAGATTACTATCATTTGATGTTAGCGATGGTATATTAATTGTACGCATAAGATCTCGAAATACATTAATAATATTTTCATAATTAATAGTCGATGATGGTTGTGATATGGTTACTTCACTACTGGCTGATGAAATAGAATTTGAAGATGATGATGATGATGATGTTGATGATAATGATTGATCAAAAGACTTTTTATCTGGTATATATCGTTCATTCTTTGGTGGTAATACTTTAGAAGCTACGATAACATCTTGATCTTCATCGGTTGTAGATAAATGTTTGTTCGATATAATTTTATTCTGTTGATCTTTCTTTGCTGATAGATTAACTGTATGAGATGATTCTTCACCATTTGAAAATGTTTGAGTTGAATTAACAACTGTTGTTTCAGTCAAATGTCCAGAATCAAATGATTTTATTGATTGTCCTGATGAATTTTGATTAGTCATTTGTTCAATATCTAATGTAATCGGTGATGTATTCGAAAGTATTTGTAAATAAATAAGTATTTGATGATAAATATAACATTGTGCATCATTAATTAAAAGATATTCCATAATTGCTTTCGCATTTGGTTGTTCAATAATATGTTTTAATATTTGTATACGAAAAACGAAACTTTGTTTTTCCGGATCAAGTGCAATAGTTAATAATTTTTGTGTAATTTGTTTAATAATATCTCCACAACGAAACATAATTAATGACATTTGATGACGTATTTGAATATGATTTGAACGTTTTTCAATTTGATATGCAATACCAATTAAACAGATATTTACTAAACGTAATGTAAATGTTTCAATATGTGAACATTCATCATGAAATGAATAAACATAATCAAGTGCTAAGTGTAAAAATTTACGGAATCTATCACAATGTTCAACCATTGTTGGATTTATACTCATATCATCGATAGTATTTCGTCCTTTTGTTGATGGATATGAAGAAATATCAGTGGATGGTGGTTTTTCAATTGAATCGATGATTGCATTGAACATATTCGACAATGTTTGTAAATAAATACCTCGATTTACTTTTGAAATATCTAAATTTAGAAGATTTTAAAATCTGTATATTCACATGAATTTACTTACTATTATCATGACTATCCGAATTTAGCATTACCATTCCAATAATATTATTAATAATTGATATAAATGATATATCATCTATGATACTTGTCATGAACGTGTGTACTATTAATGAATTAAGACATTTTTGTACAGATGATATGATTTTATCTTGTGTAAAAGTTATTGCTGATGAAAGTGTATTGAAAAGTACTTGTATGATACCAATATCAACAAGAAAATGTCGATTTTCATCATTTGATCGTATAATAATTTCATTAAGTAAATTGAGAAGTAATTCACATAAAACAGTATTTGCTATGCTTAATTTTTCAATAAATGATAGTACTAAAGCGAAACCAACTTGAGATTGAGGACATGGCGGAGAACAAGATACAATAGAAAAATATTGATCACTATCATGAATCTGTTCGGATAAACTAAAACACAAAAAAACATAATACTATAATAAAAGATCATATTCACCATCTCTTCAAGAGATAATTTTATAGTTAGATTCTGTTACTAAAATATAATAGATTAATTTCTTTTTTCAGAAGCTGCTCATTCAAATGGAATTACTCTTGAAAACATCTATCACAATATCTTATTTTAAGTATACACATGACAGTTATATATCAAGTACATATAACTAAGTACACCTAGTATGAATAATGAAGGATAAATCAACCTTGCTATTCGGTTGAATGCATTCTTTCATGATTTAATATGTCATTGATTCTTAAAATCTTTTGTTTATTTTTAATATTTTTGCAGACTTATTAGGTATGTATGTATGTAATATTAATTTCATACCTTAATTCAATATTAAATTGTATAGGACGTTGTAATGCAATTGAAACGCAAATTTCAACAAATTCTTTTTCATCATCACGTCCATCTAATTGATGATAGATTTGATTAGCTAACATGATATGTAAATCAGCTCTTAATACATCATTTTGTACTTTATCTTTATCCATACGTTTTAAAATAATATCTAATAATTTAATACATTGAACACGTTTAGGCATTGATGCATTAAGTAAAAGAACAACTAAAATATTCAGACGGAATACATGATCAATTAATTTCATCATTAAACGATCCGATGTTGTTAAAGCTATATTTGTTAATAATCGTAAAATATCTGTTGAGAGTGGATCAATATTATGAGAACAATCTTTATTAGTGGTTGGTACTGATGATGATGATAATAAATCGGAAAACGAACGTGATTTTTTTATACTTGAATTATCTTTATTATTAATAGCATTTGTATCGAATTGTTCATTGTTATGCATTGTTGTTGAACGTCGTCGATTAAAATTTTCTAAATTTTTATTATTATTTCTCAGTATTAAATTTTTTCGAAAATGTTCTTTATGTTGTTCATAATAATTAAATGGTTTTGTAATAAAATAAAAATGTTCTTTATTATATGTAACATAAGTTTTAATTAATGGATGAATTAATAGAATAAAATTCATAGCTATTGCAATAATATTAATATCATTTTCAATTAAAGCTTCAATAATATTTATTAATATTAATGTCATATCATTATCAATAATAATATGCTGTTGTTCTTCAATTAATTCTTGACATAATGTTAATAAATGTTCAAGTGTAAAATGAGTTTTAAATAATTGTCTATTAACATAAAAATATTTCGAATTGATTTGATCAGATAATAAATCATTAAAAATTTTTAATATAGAATTAAATATATTCGGATGATTATACCAAATTTTCCAATCAAGTAAAATAAATCGAAATAAATTTATATCATATAGACGTTGTTGATTTGTTACAATACATTTATCAATTAATACTTCATAAAATTCTGATGATATATAACGTGTACATTCATTTGATGTTAAAATTTTAACAATTAAACGATAACCATCAAGTGAATTAAATAAATCATAATAAGATTTGATCTTCCATATTGATGTAAATATAATATCACTTATATTACAAATACATATTGATAAATCATTTGGATTTATTTCAATAATTTTTCCAAATAGATAAATAAAATTTAATATCCCACCTAATTGTTCACATATATTAAGAATATTACTTGATTGTTCAAGAGAAATTCTTGATGGTAGTGATATAGTTGTTGTAGTTGTTAATAGATTATCATCATTTGTTGCTATTGATGGTGTTGATGTTGATGCTGCTGTTGTTGACGAAAAAAATGGTAAAATTTTATTTAAACGACTTGGTGCTACATCTTCATTTGTATCTGTATTCGAATTAAATAAAAATAATGTCCAAGGATTATTTGATGTATACGAAGCTATAAGTGAACGTTTTAATATTGTATGACAAGAATTTTGATCGATTTCAAATTGATCTATTGACATTGTTGAATGAACACGAGTAAATCTTTGATATATCCAGTAATTAACAAGAGATTGTTGTTGTTGACTACCTGTTAAAAAATGCCAATGATCAGAACCCAAACTATATAAATACGTTGGAACATAATCATTATTTACTCCATTTAATAGATCAACTTTATCAAAAAGAAGAATACTACCAAGATCATAATAAAATGATGTACAAGTATCTAATGATTGTTGGCCAATTGATATTGACCATGGTTTTATTGAATTTGAACTATATAAACTTGGTATTGGATATGTTTTTGGAACAGATGTTTGACCGTTTAAACATACACGAACTGTATTTGTTGTTTTTGATATAGTAAGAACTACATGAGACCATGATTCACGTGGAAGATTGTATAGACAAACATTAAAATCAATAGGATCTATTAAAGAAAAGAAATTATTTTCTGTGTATTAAAAAAAGATTGTTTTACCATGTTGATCGGATGTTGGTGATAGTTGTACAATTTTTAAACAAATATTTGGTTTTGAATCTAACCAAAATTGTAATTGAATACCTTCATGATGTAATGTAAGAATATGTAAAATAGGTCGATAATCTTTTTTATTATTTAATTCATCATTTTCAATTTGATTTTCATCATTTATTTCATGTTTATCAAATGGATAATTAACTCTTAACCATAGAGCTATAGTTAATGGAAAATGAAATTGAACTGTTTTTAATTTTTCGGTAACAAAAGCTGATGTTCGAACATTATTACAGATAAGAGATGAATTTGTTTGATCATTTTCTGTTGATGGATATTTTAATGAAAGTAATTGATCAAGTGTTAAACGCAAATGATGACTAGCTTTTGATGTAACTATTGCTGATAATGGCATTGAACAAAATGAACGTGGTTGATTAGAATCTATTTGATGTACAAGATGTTTAAATAAACGAAGTAATGGTCCAACAAATAATCGATGTGCTAAAATAAGTTTAAAACATTGATCAAGTTGATTCACTGTTATTGATTGTGACCATAAAAGTTGTAACAATGTTATTATTAAAGATATTAATGTATCTTTTTGTATAAATGATGAACGTGGAACAGTTTTCGTTAGACAAGTAAATAAATAACCATCAATATTTAATCTTTTTAATACAATACAATTATAACTATTAGCACGAACTAATGATGATAATAATTCGAGATAGACAACAAGATTTGTTACCTTAAAATAAAAATAGTTTAAAATTTCGTAGCTTTCGAATCGGTTAAGTTAAGTGTGCTCTAAATCTGCAGTTTACGGATATCTAAGTTTTCGCGAAAAACTGTAATCATCTGTTTTTGATTGCTCTAATAGATACTCTAGACTGTACTGAGTCGACTGGTGATGCTTCAGAAAAAACAGCACATAGTTACAAGTACCGCTCGTCCGAGGACTCGCTTAGCTCTTTCTCGTAGAAATGCATCCTCTTCACATTTATTGGAAAAACAATTGAAACCCGTGAAAAATCGGTTTCCGATGTTTTTTTGACCCTGCGGACAGACAAGCAAGCAAACAGTTTATTCTAGCAAGACTCTTCTCTACGAGAAAGAGAACAAGTAACGCTCGTCTGGAGACTCGCTCAGCTCTTTCTCGTAAAACCGATAGGTCTTCGCTACCACTAAACCATTTATTCAAACGATTTCAAAAACCGACTTCGAATTTAAGTCCCACAATCGTTCAGTCACCCCTTATAAAAAAAAACGTTTTTGTAAAAAAGTGGTTCTTTGTGTAAATACGATCCTCAAAAAAAATCTTAAAAACTAACAACAGATTCGAGTTCCTTGACCCCGATTACCCTTATAAAAAGATTTCTTTTATATCTTTGACTAATTTTTGGAACAATCAGTGAAGTGCGAACAATTTATTTCTACTACACTCTTCTCTACGAGAAAGAGAACAAGCTGTAATTTGTCGAAAAACTTGAATTAACTCGTAAACTTCAATTTGGAGCTCACTTAACTTGAGCAAAAATTTTATATATCTTTCTAGTTGATATGATTATCAATACTGTCGATTATTAACAAAATTTAACTTACATAAATTGACGATTTATTTGTAGTTTGTTGATTACTCCATTCATTATCAACATTTTGCCAAGCAATTTCTAAACCAAGTATAACTAATTCTGGAAAAAGAATTAAATTTGAATAAATTGTTTGATTTTGTTTTGTAACTATTTCCGTTGGTATTTCATCACTAAGTGATTCAACATCAGCATGATATTCATCATCATCTTCATTATTTTCAACAGATGATGATGATGTTGTTGGATTTTCATCATCCGATTCATTTAACGATTGATTTTTATTACTTATTGAACTTTTCCATCTTATTCGTTTATCTTGATATTGTTGAGATAATGATAAATGTACAAGTAATTCAAACCAAGATGAATTATAACGATTTTTTTCACTATATAATGTAATTTGTTCAAGAATTAATTTATAATTAAAATCATTATCAGTTAATTTTGGATAATATGATATTGCTACAAGTATACATGCAATTATTGATGATTGAAATGTAGATGGATTATTTAACATCAATTGAAAACGTTCATAAAGACGTAAATGACATAAATGTCCATAGAATGCATGTCGAAATGTTGGACATTTTTGTAAAAGTATTATAAGTATGTGACATAAATTATCAATTCTATCATTTGGTAATGATCCTGAATTAGTTAATTTAATGATCAATTGAATAAATAATTCTGATATATTTAGATTCAAACTATCCGATGTTGATGTAAGTAAACAACCTAAAACTGGTAATGTATGAATTAGAAGTGTTGGTAATAATGATGATAAAACGATTAATGTATCTGATATCACAGAAAGGTCTATGTCAATAGTAATATCATAGAAGAGATTTGGTAGTGTTTGAATAAGATATTCAACTATTTCGCTATTTGTTGTATTTTGTATTGGTGGATTTTGACGATAATATTCTAATGATGAAAGTATACAAAGTTTTAATGCTAATTGCTTTTCATTTCTTGAACAACATTGAATAAGATCTGGAAATGATTGAGCTAATTTTAGTGAATAACGAGATGGACGTTGGAATAAATTGTTTGATAAATACGTCCAAAATTGAGAATTATCTGCTATTTGTGAATCATGATGATGATGATGATAATGATTATAATTATTTCGTTGTGAACAATTTAAAATAAGAAGAAAAGATTTACGAAGTAATTGAATTGATTGTTGTTCAAGAGAAAGTAGAATTTTTTCATTCGTTTTAACATGATTTATTTTAGATAAAAGTGTACGATAATGAGTAAGTGAATAACATGAACATGAACCATATGATATCAAATACGATAAACAATCCTATATAAAAAAAACAAGAGTTTAGTTGAAATTGTAATGCTTTTAGCGTGTATAACTAGAAAAATAAATCTAAGCTGATAAATACGACATGATAATTTATTCGAACATATATATATATCAAGCGATCACCTCCATAATCATTAAACTGAATGTATTAGTGAGGAATTTTGAAAGTAAATATTTACAACAACGATAAATAAATCACAAAAATCTAAGAAACACTTGATAATAATATATACATAGAAATCGAGAAGAAAGATTAGATTATATGTATTCTATTATAATTAAACTAAACTTACGTGAATCAAAGAAAATGATGGTTGATTTGATTCAAATTGTTTAATAGTTAATCTTAATAATTTATCATAAATAGTACCAATTGCACAAATACGTTTTATTTGATTATTTTCATCCGTCTCATTTTTAATATCAATATTTTCATCAAGATTACTTTTATTATTAATTAATATTTCAAATGAACTTTGATGATGATGGTAAAGATAAGCTTGTTCAGAACTATTTTCCCAATAAGTTTTAATAGAACGTTGATTTTGTTTACGATGTGATTCTTCTGAACGATAAGTTTTTAAATGTTTTAATATCAATGAACAATGTTCAAGTAATTGTTTTGAATGATATTCATTTTCTTGATCTGTATTTAATAGAGTAAATAATGAAAAATAATCACTTGTTAAAAATTGATTAATTAAACATATTAAATCAGTTGTTGTTCGTTGTTGAGCAGAATTTATTTCTGTTTTATTTTCAAGTATACTTTCAATTAATAAAGCAAAACCTAAGAGAGTATCAAATCCTAATTGAATAAGAAATTCTGATGATGAAGTAGGAAGATATTTATATATATTTGTTATTATTGAATCAATAGGATTAGAGTTAAAACTGTTTGTATATGTTGTTGGATGATGAAGTATAATTTGTTTAAATATAAGAAGTAGTGAACGGATTTTTTTCTGATAAAACCAAAGATTTTTATATTCAGTTGTTAATTGAGGAAGTTCAATATTAGCAAATCCTTGTGCAATATCAATATGATCTTTGTTTATTTGTGGTGTTGATACATGATTATCATTAAAATAGAAAAGATGAACAAATGTATTAAATATATAATCTAATGTTTCAAATAAATTTGATGTTGTAATATTAGAATAATTATTTTGTTCTTGATTAAAAATTGAATTTATAGATTGAATATTCACTAAAGCTAAAATAAAATATTTTTATTAATAAAATTATGACAAAAATTTCTTTTACCTTGTTCGGCATCGTCATTAGATATAAGAGGAAAACAAATTGGAATTAATTGAATAAGAATAAGACCAAAATCACGATACTGAATACGATCAACTGTTGTCTATGAATAAAATAAATAGAAAATAAGAAGAATTTTCTCTATATTCTTACATATATATCAGAATTATTTAATTGTTTTAATACAGTGAGTCCATCATTACTCAAATAATTTATTAATTCGGATACATTGTCTGTTGCACATATTTTTCGAACATTTTTATAAAAGGAATGAATTAATTGTGACATGATTATTTAATTCTAAATGTGATAAATGATATGCACCAAAAATCGGCATATCTCTAAAAAGAGAGAAAGATAAGATTTGTGCCCTTACACGTATTCAAATAATCTATTTTTAATTTTGTTTATAGTAGAAAAAGAGATTATTTTCAATATTAATAATCTATATTAACCCTTCAGACGGGCAGGTTGTGTACAATACCCTTAAATCAAATAAATAAAGTGAAATATGGGTCATGATATTCTACTAAATTTCTATTGGTTGATATACACCATTCAAAATTTTAATCGAATCAGTTTGATAAAGACAATAGTATCGAAATAAGAAAGTGCTCAATCATGATAGCTTTTTTCTTCAAGATTAAACATATTTTTATATTGAAATTATATTTACGTTGATACTAGCGACAAATATGTATTTAAAAGATTTCTTAAGTGGAATTTTGAAAAGAAAATGAATTCATTCAAACTAAAATGACTATACTCATATATTTCATAAATCGTAAATTAAAATCTAACTTACTAATACTATTTCATCTTGAAAAAATGTCGTTGTTTCTTAACATAATAGATAAAATTCTTCTTATTTTCTGTCTCTATATTTAAATTTACATAAGACATCTTTCCTATCATCAATTTTTATCATTTCAAAGCACTTAAAACGAACAAAGTATAAATAATCTGAGTAAAAAAATGTCGACTCACTATTTCATTACATAATCTCGTAAATAAATATATAATTAACGTCATCAGTTAGAAATTATTTTCTAAAAATATAACTTAATGTATACGTAGTAGTACGGGGATCATATTACCATTACTTTTTATTACAGTAAGTTGGTAATTGTCATCATATTTTATTACTTAATATCGCAATTTACGTTGTTTCAATAGCGATAGACCTATTATTGTTTATATATACAGTAGTTTGTTAAGTCTTTATTACAATTACTCTTATTACCTTTTAAATTAATTAGTAATAGCATTTATTACTTATTATTTTTATTACTTTGCAAAAATTATTATTTATTACCGATAATGGTAATGTGACAGCCCTACGTTTTAGTCCGAGAATCGTGAAAACTATTAGAACGAGTTCGTACAATTTTAATTCTATGAATATTATACTCTAAAGTTGTTCACCTCGATTTATGCGATACATAAATTTTTCATGTTAAAATTCATAATTATAATACACTTACGTGAATAAATTAAAAGTGACATGACATTTTTTTTCCTCTAAATAATAATTATGATAGTAAGTCAATTCTTTTTTGTTTAGAAACTTTTTCCCAGTAATTTCGTTTCTTATCTAATCGTAAAATAGTCTATCCGATAATGACCATTTAATTATTAAACTCGTATACATAAATCCAAGTTCTTAAGAATGAATTCTTTATTTTATGACAAGAAAAATAAACGAAGCAATAAATAACAAATACAAAAAAAAATATATAATTCAGTTTTTATTTTATACCATGATCGGATCTTCTTGCATTGAATTCGAATTTAGACTGTCTTCATCATCATAAGTATATTGTGTAATAGTTAAACTTTGTTTTTCTTCATTTAAACAATTTTCTGATTGACTTGTTGTTATTATTACTGGTAATTTATTATTACTACTATTAGTGAAATAATCTGAAGTATTTTCAAATGTTACCGTTCGATTAGATAACAATGGTGTAGTAGTATTTTCTTCAGCATTACTAATATTATTACTAGTAGTCGTTGTTAGAACTTTTGATTCTTCAGTTTTACTCGTCGTATCTATTTTTATTGGATTATGATTGGAATGAAGATCTTTAGTTGTTGGTAATTGTGAAGCAAATTTTAAATTATTAACTTGCGCTTTTAATTGTTTTGTTAATCGCATGTTTTTCTCCGGATGTACCAATATAATATAGACTTTTGGTGAAAAAAGACAAGCTAATGCTACAGTAGCACATAATGATATAGTAATACATAATGTTACAATATGAACCTTGACAAAATAAATATATATATCATTATTTTGTTTTTTTTCCTATTACAAAATTCAATTACCTGATGTCGACCTGTATCATAAGCTGTAAAATAAATTGGAAGAAATGCTAACCAAAGTATGCATGTTGTATAACATGTGAAACCAATAAATTTCGTTTCATTAAAATTTTCCGGTACTTTTCGTGTTCGTACAGCATACATTGTACATATAAGTACAAGTAAAACATTATAAATTAATGAAAATAATAAAGAATTTTTATTCATACGACATTTAAGTATAACTAAACGTTCATATGCTATCATATCAACACCAGGACTTTCAAATGCAAGCCATAATAATGAAAGAAGTAATTGTACCATAATTAAACATGAACAAATGACAACTTGTGAACGTGGTGATATATATTGTGGACGTAATTTACCTTGTTTTTTCGTACTTTCAAATATTCGCGCAATACAATTTGTTTTTGTTAATAAAGCTGCATATAACATTGAAAAAGCTAAACCAACACCTACACGTTGAATAACACAGGTTATTACATGTGCTCGTATAATTATTGGAAATGTCATTAAATAACATAAATGAATACCACCAAGCATAATAAAACATAATTCTACTCCACTTGCTTTTACAATTGGTGTTTGTCGTTTTTGATAAAATAGAATAACGACATATAATGTTAAAATATTACCAATAATTGATAAACTAATTGGTACTAATCCTAATGCTGAGAGGAATTCTATTGATGTTTCTTTTAATTTATAACATGATGTACGATTCTGTGTCGGCCAATAGCCAATTGAACATGGTTCACAACGTTCTTGTCCTTCAAAACTCGTAAGAATGGATGTTTCATTACATGGTGTACATACCCAACAACAAGCATCACCTTGAAATTGACGTAATTCACCAACACGACAAGGTTCTGAACAACGAGATATTGGAATTGTTTTTGATGAAAGATCATTTGCATCTGCACCTGGCCATACAATTGAATCAATTAAAAGATTAAGTTGACCATTTTGATTTTGATCGATTTTCCATTCACCAACAGAAACATATTCATATGGATATACCGATGTATCTGTTAATGATACTATTTTAGTTGATCGACGATAATTATAAATTCGATATTGACCAGGTACAAAACGTTCGGAATTAAATTGAATTCGCCTTGAATCAGGCACTAAAGAAAATCAAATCAACATATATATATATATAGTATACACTGAGTATTCTCTTGTGATTTAAATAGCTATCAAGGGTAAAAAATACAAATGCAAACTAATCTTATAATTTATCTTTTTTTTCAAAATAGTTGATTTCTGTCTATTTATATCTTAAATAATTGAGTATAATCTTAATCATAGAGAGGAAAAGAAACAAAAAAATAAGAGAGGGAGAGCGAAATGAAATATTTCTAGAACAATGCATTTGTCACTGATTACATTGCAAAATGTTTTTGACAAGCGTCGTTGATAATAAACTTACTAAGAAATGTCTTTTCTAAGATCAATTGAAATAATGTTTTGCCGTCTATATCTGTTAAAGATATATTTGGACATAATAATGATGAACAATTAAAATATTCATGTAATGCTTGAGCAAATACATATGTTGCATCAACAATAAATTGTAATTTACTATCCCAATTTGATTCATTTAATTGATGATGAATACATGTTGATGATGTTGTTAAATTACAACCAAAACGTTGTTCCCAAAATTCACTAAACCATGGATTTCGAGATGATATTGTTTTAAATGTTCGATTATTAATATCTGTTTGAATATTTTCATTAGGTAAATCAGGTTTTAATGCATTAAAATATTTATCAAAATTTGCTGGTTGAATTGAAATAAGTTCTAATGTTAATGCACCAACAGCTATTTCATCTGTGTCACCATTTATAACTACAGATGATTCTTTACCCTAAACATATATATATGTATTCAAATAAAATATTCAAAGTTTTTGTTCTTTACCCATGCATCACTTGCAATTAAAACAGGTCGATGTGTACCATTAAATGATTTAATTGCTTGTAATAATTTTCTTGCATCTTCTTTCGTAACAAATAAAACATAAACACGTATTTGTACATCAGATTTAATACGATCTAACATTGTTTGTAATATTCCTCTAATATCTAGTATTGATGCATCACGATGTAAACGTTGTTCATCAGCAATACATATACGTGCTTGTTTTTTTTTCATGAAATTTAATTCATCATCATTTGTTGCAGCGACTTTAAGTAAACGACGAAATTCTCTAAAACCACCTTCACCATAATCACCATGAGAATAAATAACATTAACATATGTAAAATTTAAATGTTGTAAGATATCAACAATAGCTCGTGCCTGATTTGAATCGGACGGAACAGTACGAGCAAAATATTCAAATGATGGTTCACTTAATTTTGGTGTTGTTGATGCATAGGATATTTGTGGTAATTGAAATAAACGTAATAAATTAGCAACATGTACACTTACTGAACTTAATGTTGCACCGACAACACCAAATACATTATCATTATGAAGAGATTCTGATATTGATGTATTTACACATTTACATGTACTTGATGTTAAACGACTAAGTACAAATCCAAGAGATTGTTCAACAGCATAATTATCATCGGAACATGTATCTAATATTCGTGCACCTAATTCAATACCAGGTAATAAATGTTCATCATTATTAATTTGTTCTATAGCAAATAACATAGCTTCTAAACGTTGTATACCACGAAATTGACTAATAGCTCCACAAGGTTCTTGTGGACTTCCATATTCATGTACAGGAAATAATCCACCTAATGTAACATTACCTGTCCGACGAGCTGAACGACTTATAGATAATGAACTAGCAAATGTTAATGTTGTACCATAAAGAAAGCAAAAAATTCGAGTAAAAGTCAAATAATAAAACATCGATTATTTTAGCCTAAAAGATCAAAAACTAATATAATCGACTTAAATTTGACATTTATATATTCAATGTGCATTTACACAAAACATTTTCTTTCTTTAATTCTATGGCTATATTTTCAGAAATTATTCTCTCTTGTTGACTATATACGCTAATCTATTTGACAAAAACAACCAAAAAAAGAAAAAACGAGAGAAATACTCTTCGTCACTCTCTAATATTACGAACGCATCTCCTTGCTTTCTCTCCCTTTTTTCTTAGTAATTACATAGTCCTTCCTGTCTTTCTGTTATTTTCTCTTGTTCTCTCAGTTTCTCTTCCTCTCTCCTAATGTATCACTTCTAACAACAATAGTCGATTGATTCGATTTTGATTTTTTTTTTTTATTGAGAACTTTCTCCAAGGTACGACTATACGTCTGTTCTAGTTTCTATTGTGCGGTCGAAAGTCAATATTGATGTACTACAAAAAAAAAATCGACGTGTCATGTGTTAAATAAACTTATTGTCGGGCATATCAATACGGACACAAATATGAGTAGAGAAACCAATTTACTTTGTTTTTTTTTCGCACTATTTTATACATTTGTTCGTTCATTAACTTTTTTTTTTCTCTTTAAACATGCAAACAAATTAGATTTGCTCTAATGCAAATGAACAACAAAAAATGATCATTTAATTTTCTATTTTTAAACATTCATTTTCAATTATAATCTGATAAAATAGAAAAAAAACGATTTCCTATCATTTTAAAGAAAAGAAAAAATGTTTAGAAAAAGTGAATGAACATATAACTTTACCTTGAGATATATATATTATTCATTAATGTTTTTTCTTTTACATGTCAATTACATTTATAAATTTAAATTTTTAATATTATATTTATCTTATTTAAATATATATATATATATATTTCTTTTTCGTTTGTGTTTCTCCATATAATATTGACTGATTATGTTTGATGAGACAGACATAGTAGTCAATACATTGTACCGAGAGGAGAAATATTTATGAAAATTTCCTTCCTTCCGTATGTTTTATTTTTAGTTCTCTATATCGTTTAGTTCTATTTCAAGCGATATCGATAGGAACAATGATCTACATTATATAGGTAAAATTAAAAAAAAGAAAGTAATTTCTTTTATGTTAACGTTCAATAACTAAGCTTAGTCTTGAGTAATTTTTGTCCCTGTCATTCATCGTTATCTTTCCTTATTCCATAGAAATTTCCTTTGTCTTCAAAAAAAAAAACGAGATGAATACATAAATAAAGTATGAGCAACGGAAAAATATAGTTAGCAATGCCAATAATAAATATGTGTGCACGCATAGACATAATATAACAAAGAATATATTAAGTCAAATCATTTAGTAACATATAAGATTTATTAAGATCTTATTTGCATGATTGATATTTTGTGTTTGATGAAAATTCTCCTTACTTTTTCTCTCTCGCATACACGAATTAAGTCAAGCGATAGATCATTCGAAACGAGTTTGTTGCATGTTAAATAGGTTCATTGCAATAATAATGTCTTTTTAAAACATATAGAACAAGACACATCCAAGTAGGTAGTGAAGCCGAATGCCGTTAGAATTCTTTTTCATAAAAAAATCACGTTATGCTCATATAAGAAATACATGCATACAAGATGAATAATGTCTTTTTCTTTCAACTCATATCCTTTTGTCGGCATTTTCATTGTATACGTATGGATAATGATGATGATGTATCATTCGTGCGTATAAAGCTAGTATATATCTTTGAGAGTTATTTGCTTTATTAAAGGTTGAATCATTTAATTACAGAGCTCTTTCTTATTCGTTCTTATTCCGCGTAATTTACATTTTAACTAGTTTTTTTATTTTCGGACGTGTGCACTCATACAACATTAAGTAAAAATTAAATGAACGTTTATTAAACTAAATCATGAATTCATTTTTGATCGTTTCTTTTTCTTTTTCTTTTTCTTTTTAATTTTTTTCTTTTTTGTATTATCTAAACCACAAAGTTTCTTAACAAATTTTTGATAATCGAATATATTTGATTGATCAATCATTGAACACATTATTTGTAAATCTTTTATATTCAATGGCATATCACCTAAGGTTGTTAGATTTTTTATTAGATATTGCTTATCAATAAAACCTTGTTGTTCATCATCAAATATTTGAAATGATTCAATTAATATATGAGATATATCTTCATCTGTTAATTCTTCCCAATACAATGCAAGAATTGATTCAATTTCATCAAGAAAATATTCATCCGTGTCATACATATTTTCTAATTTAGATTTGATTTTTTCAATTGTACTTTTTGACATGTTTTGTCCGGATAAATAAAGTATTTGTTCCAAATCAGATAATTCTAAGAAAAAAAAGAGGAAATTAAAAAAAATGTTTTCTTCAAGTTACTTTAGAGATTATAATTGCTTTTTTTTCTTCCTATTACTTGTTCAATGAATTATTTATAACATTTTCATTCATTTCTCTTTAGAACTTCTTTTCATAAAATATAATGTATATTTTCAATAGAATATATATAAAAAAAACAAGAAGATTCATTTTTCAATACTCCTCAAAAGATATATCTCATTGAAAAACATCAAATTATAGAATTTCAATATGAAAAAGGTGGAAAATTTACACTAATATGCTTTTCATAACAATCAAATAATATATTTTTAGGAATTTAATTAAAGCAGTAAAATTTTTAACTTTGTTATGAATTTCTGCTACGGTTCTTTCTTTTAAAAAGAAATCGATTTTTATTATAGAAGTTAGACGATGACTAAATATTATTTCTAAATACTATCAATGTTAAGTGAGCTCTCAATTTGGAGTTTACGAGTTTCAAGTTTTTCAACAAATTACAGCTTGTAACTATGTGCTTTTTTTCTTGAGCGTCATCAGTCTAGAGTATCTATTAGAGCAATCAAAAACAGATGATTACAGTTTTTAGGTAGAGTTTTTCGCGAAAACTTAGATACTCATAAACTGCAAATTTGGAGTACACTTAACTTGACTGATTTCTTTTTACATTTCATTGCACAAGGAAATATAATTGTGATTCTTTGAAAGTAGATATTTAGATCTGGCGACATCCGTGATTTTTTAGGAAAGAAAAATCATTCATCTTTTATAATATTTTCTATAAAACACATGATCGGTTCAGTCATGAGATTTCTTAATATATGTACTAGCTTGGTATAAAGCGGTAATATGAAATTCTTGTTTTGAAAATTAGATCAAAAATAAAACTGAGATTACCGTATAGATTTAATCAAGTAAAAAACATAAATGATAAAAATGTCGATGACTTTTGAATAAAGTTTATCATATCCGGGTTCGAACTAAGAACAAGAATCTCTCGAGTATATAAGTAGTTACAACTCTATCTTTTGGCTATATAATGTCTACGATAGACTATGAATCGTCTGATAAGGATTCATAATCTAACATCTTAATTTCCCATTTCAGAGGTACAGAATCTTCCTCGTGCGCCCCCCGCGCGGGGAGGGAAATTTTTGGCTTTTGGGAAGATTCTGTACCTCTGCATACAAGATTTTCAGAATCTTCAATTTTAGTCTTTATGAGATATGAATTAGGAGAATCTAGATTTCGCGAAAAGTTACAATAGAAAACTATGAAAAGATCAAATCTAAATAGTTTGAACATTTCGAGGGATTTTCTTATAAATATATTTATGATTTAGACTATACGTATTGAACTCGATAAGCAACATAATTGGATTTTTATTAGACAAACATACAACACAATTGAGAATTATATTTCTTACTGATCATATATTCTCCTGAGACTTTTGTCTTAATAACATTTCGTAATTTTTCCATTTCAACATATGATAAATGTTGTTTGTCATATAATTCTTCTTCATTTTCAATAGACGAACGTTTTTTATTATTATACATTCATTTATACAAAAACACAAAAAAGAAAAAAACAACACAGAAAGTAAATAGCGCTTATTTTCTCACTATTACAATATACATATGACTTGATAAATATTACATTCGGAATGCTTTTTTTTTGTCTAAACTAAAGAATAAACGGTATCAATGCACGTCTTTTTGTTGGATATAAATCTTTATAATATCGACAAAACCATCGATGATTTAATAATGCTGATAATGATTGATTAGTAAATACCCAAACAAGTAACGATGCCATTGCTGACGTTCGATGACTTGTTAGAAAAAATGACAAATAAATAATAATTTCAATTATTGAATTTGGACACGAAAAATAATTAAATATCCAGTAACCATATGGAATAGGTTTGATTTCATTTTGTTCAACAGGATTTTGTTTTTCTAATGTTAAATGAATATTATATTGAATATAACTTGCATTTAAAAAAACAAATAACGAAAAAATATATTTCATTATTGTTATATTCGTATAGGAATATTGATAATCACTAATTATTGTTAAACCAACACATGGATAGTAAATAAAATGAAAAATATAATAAAAAAAATTCATTTTTAAATTTGATTTCGATTTATATACATATATACATTCATATAAACGATGAAATATATGAAGAAAAAAAGGAAAAAAAAGAAGAAATGATGAAAGATGTAAAATGAATAAAATAAGATTTATAAGAAGAGCAATAATATAAAAATATTGGAAATATGACTTGGATAAATTTGTTGGATTATAGAAATAAAAACGTTGAAATATTAGATTAATAATTGAATGATTTATTTTACAATCAATTAATGACCAAATACCTTGTAGAAGTATTCCAGCTGATAATGACAGCCAAAAAAAACTAAGAAGTAAATTGAGATTCAATTCATACATTTTTTTTATCTAAAATTTATTAGATTTTTATAATTACATACGTATATATAGATAAGTATATATATTATAAAAGAAAAATAAAATTTTTTGCTTTCTTTTTTTTTTTAAACAGATGTATCGTCTTTCGATAGATCATCAATAAACGGTATTTGAGAATATAAAACAGAATGTTCATGAAAATTTAGATTGTCATCGGTGTTCATTTGTATACTATGATAAATTAACTGTAAATTTATGACTGCATCAGGAGTTGAACATGCAATTTGTTGAAGTTCAATACGATAACGACGATAACGTCGACGAGCAATTATTAAACGAATTACCATTGGAAGAAGTCCACATAATAGAAATGAAGAAAAGATCATTATTAAAGCTAAAATAAACCAATTGTCTATTGGCATTATGAAATTGGTGATAGTTAGTTAGAATGATGAATAACAGATGAAGATTGAGCACCATCGAGATAAACCTAAAGAAGAAGAAAATAAACATGTATATATAATTCTTAATTTTAAAAGCTAACAGTAATACAACAAACACATTTGTTAATCCGACTGTGTAGGTTTACACTGATGTTGTTTTTCAAATATTGATCAAGACTAGTTTGTTTCTATAAGTTAGGTGAAGGGCATTCTTTTTCTTTCTCCGGACTAATGTTAAATGATCATTTCATGCTCTCGTCACAAAGCTTTCATTCTGGAAATTTCCGTCGTGTTGTTACGATTAATTCCTCTACATGTTTATATAGACGCATGCAACATTTAAAAAAGAAAATCTTACTTATTTTCATCGACAATCTAATATTGGAGTAGTGCCAATGATATAAATGCAGTGAATATTAGCATATCCAAAAGAAAGAAGCTGAAAAACAAGATAATAATCATATTGTAAATGAGAACATATGTTATCATTTTATTGAATAATGTAAAATAGAACATTTTTTTTAAAAAAAAAAAGAAGAAACCTTTGCAAACACAGATCTTTATAAATCAATTTTCTACTGTTCACTCTAAGAAAAACAAATTGAAAATAATAAATCAAGAAGGACACAAAAAAATAGTATAATATTGATTAACTAATAACATTGTTCACAAGAACACCAGGTTATTTTTCTTTCTTTTTCTTTTTAATAATTACAACAAAACCTTATTTCTATTGCTCTATCTGACTAACTAATATAAAAAAAAGAAGAGTCAAATAAAAACGATAGAAATTTTTTTATTTTTTATTTATTATTTATATTAGCCATTGTTCCACTATGTGAATTATTGATTGTTGGTGGTGCTGGTATATCACCATTACTTGCTGTGACTAATGTATTAGTTTTTTTTTGTTTCGATTCTGCTAAAATAACTTTATAACATTTTTGTACAAGTGGCATTGTAAATAATAATAATGCAGGCAATGCTGTGCCAATGCCAATAGCATAATAAGTTCTATCATAAGATTTATATAGATCAGCAATAAAACCTATTTTGAAAATTTATATTTAAAAATCAAATAATAAATTGTTTTGATATTACCTAGTGTAGGCGGACCCAGTAGAGATGAAATACCTTGACAAAGAAGTAGCATACCATAAGCATTTGCAAAATTTTGTGTACCAGCAAATTTAATACATAATATTGGCATTAATACTTCTTGGGCACATTGTAAAAAACCAGTAAAGACCATCAGTGGCATTAAAAATGAATAAGAAATCATGGCATATGGAATGAGTAATTGAGAAAGACCGGCAATACACAATGAAGTAGCATATATATAAAGTGGTGAAATCCTATAACAGAATGATATTATTTTATATTTTAATTACACATAATCGATATGATCAATTTATTTGTGCGAAGAAAAATATAGAAAAACTTTAATAAAACGAAATAAACAGGAATTAATTTAGTGCTGTTTAATGCACAAACATATAATAAATACAACACGTCATTATTGCCGTGAAAAAGCGTCTATTCAAGCAATGGTAAGAGGTCCACCCAATTCCCGTATGTTAAACTTCTACAATAACTTCATAACATACTACGACGAATTCATAAATTTCTGTAACGAACATCATACTACAGAAGAGGCATAACAAGACGAAGAAAAATAAATAAATTAACAGTCATGTCTTTTAAAATTAATATTTATTCTGTTCTTCTTTTCCTTTTAATTTTCTTATATTTAACTTAGAAATGGTATTCAATTTAGTTATGTTTTTTTCTTATTCACTTGATAAACTTAAAGTAAGTTTGTCATATGATTCAAACAGATAAAACAATTTGTCAAACTTAGATAAGACATTTACAAAACCATATATTATCACACAGAATGATCTGCACTGAGGTCATCATGATGATAAGTACATAGACAAAAAAAATAACATTCTATTCAACATATTAATATATTACCTTTTCGAATCTCCCATATATCCATAACCAATTTCACCAAAAATAGCTATTACACCAACAGCGAAAATTAAATGTGAACCTTGTTCAGTTTTTAACTTATTGTCTTGCATATAATCAACAAGAAATGTCCATGTTGCATCATAAAAAATAGTTATCATAGTAACACATATACATAACAAAAGAAATGGTAATATACGTAAAACACGTAATAATTTACATATATCACGATAAAGTAATTGAAAACAATTTTTCTTAGCTATTTCATCTTCATCTTCTTCTTCATCTTCTAAATAATCTTCAATATTTCCTGGTACTGTTACTGAACGATGACGTTTTCTTCCAGCTATTTGAGGTGAATATAAATTTGGTAAACTTAAACTACGATCAATTGAAAAATGTAATGATTGTAATTTACATATATTTAAGACACTTTCATAATTATAAATATTTTTTGAACATAATGCTAGATGTGAAAGATTTCCACGATTACAATGTAATGGATGATGATGATGATGATGATGTGTTGAATGTGTACGAGTACTACTTGGTCCTGATGGAATATTAGGATGTTGATGATGAAGTGGATAATAAAGTACTACTGGTTTATTATCATTAGTAGTATACGTTGATAATCGACGTCCACGACGATGTGAACGAGGTTTTCGAGGATTCGTTGTAGTAGATGATTGTAAATTTGGACGAATAGATTTTTCAGTTGTTGATGGAGCTGTTTCAGCTAATGTTAAATCTCTATTGAAGGAAAAAACAAACAGCTTTTTTTGCTTGTCCAAGATAAATATAAATGAATGAACAGATTTATTCGAAAGAAGAATTTTTGAGCTGTGAAAAGAAGGTTATGAGAATTTCTTATTGAAGCAGAAAAAATGGTGTAGCATCCAAAAGAGACCTTTATCATCAGAGGGTATTAATGCTATGAAGCAAAAGATAGAATATGAATAAAAATAATACTCGTCTTATAATTATTTTTGTATGAGTTGAATTCTGAAGATTTTTTAAAAAATTTATTCTAATCTTATTTTTCATATCAGAAAATTCTGTTTTTTGTTTAAAACAATTTACTTGCAACTATTTGATCGTTCGACAATCGGTGGTACTTCAGCTGCACGATCAATTTCATCCGTTTGTTCAATTTGTGTTGTTGATGATGATAATTTTTGTTCACTAAAATTTCTTTCTTCATGTTGTTGTTTTTCAAGATCCATTCGATGTTGACGATATTCATTTTCTAATTGTTCACGAATAGCTAAGGGTAAACATATTTCAGATTTAGAATATTGATCAAGTAGTTCTTGTTTTGAAAATTGATCATAAAAAAATATATCATCTGTTATTGATGGTTTATGTGTAAGTAAAGGTGTATTTGAATGAGCATGTACAGTGGCTACACCTGCTTCTTTGTTCGTTACGGGAGAATCTGTAGTATCAATTGGATTCTCAGTTTGTTCGGGAGGTACAGCAGCTGCTGCCGCTGCAGCTGCTCCAGCTGCTGTCATTATTATTGTTGTTGTTTCATTTCCATTTTCAATTTCTTCTTCTTCTTCACCTAAATTTGATAATTATAAATGAAAATAATAAAGATTTTATATAGAAATCATTACCTTCTTCTTCATCATATTCATCTTCATCCCATTCAACTTCTCGAAATAAAGCACCAAATGCAACAATTGATAAAACAACACCAGAAAAAAGCATCATTGTACCATTCCATTCGTATTTTGTAATTAATTTTTGTAATACAATAGCAAAAAAACATTGACCAAATGCTCCACCTATTAAAACAAAAAAACAAATTTTTACTAATAATATTCTTAATTTTTCTCTACATACCACTTATTGTTACACCAGATGCAAACGATGGTTTCGCATCAAAATGTTCTGTTACAGCAACAACAGTGGAAACAAGTACTAATGAATTTCCAAATGCATAACATATACCCATTGTTAAATAGAGTATTTTAAGTTGAGTGACAAATGAAGTTGCTAATAATGATAATGATGTTATAGTTCCACCGAGCATTGCAGTTTTACGATAACCAAATCTTGTTGTTGCTATTGATGCTATTGGACCACATAAACATGGTACAGCATTCATCATAGATTGAACTAATGCAATACGTGATGAACCTTCATTAGGAAATTCTTCTTGTAAAGCAACAAATAAGATTGGAAAAACTGATGTTAATGCTTCACCTATTGAATAAGTTAAAAACGAAGCAATTAATACAACCCAACTCCAATTTGATTGATAATAAAAAAATTCACGCCATGGACTTAAAGCATCATTTAAACGTCGATTCAATGGTTTTGGTAGTAAACAACAACCACAACAACGTTCATTTTCGATTGGAATTACATGATCACCGGTTGTTGGCTTCTTCGAAGTGCCGTTATTCGTTTTGGAATACAGATCGGCTAAATTAAATTTTATATTAAAAATAAATTTTCTTTTTTTTGTGTTCTATACCTGAAGACGTTTTATCGTGTTGCTGATGAAGACTATCCGTCTTCACACTATCTATTGCTGGTGGTTCGTCGTTTATATGAGGATAATGGACACGTTTTTTATTTTTCGATGTATCAGCAGGTGTAGTTGAGTCAATTATCTCATTTTTTCGTTCTTCTATTGTCGTCGTTGGACTCTCATCTTTTTCTTTGTTTTCATTGTCTTTTGAATAATACTCTTGACGCTTAGGTGATGACGACATGATGTTTATCGTTTGACAATAGATTATGTACTTTTACTTAGTTTAATAAAAGAAATAGATCGCACAATAATAAGGATGACAAATGAATGAAGATAATATTTATATATATATATATAGATATATGCAATATGAATATATAACGAATAGAAGTAATAATATGTGAAGTATTTATTTGAATAAATATGTCAAAATTATTTCTAGGTAATATCACCAAATCTTAATAATATTTTTGAAATATTTGATATAATTCGAAGGCGATTATTGACATGTATAGGTGTTGATTTAAATGTTGAAACACTATTGTAGAAACGTCTCATCGACGCGACAAGCGACGATAAGTCAATAGAATAAGAAGTGAAAGATTGTTCAATAACTATTCTATGAACATAAATTTCTGTTGAAATATTAAATTCGAAAGAATAAGATCAGAAATTAGAATAAAGATGTTACAAAATGTCACATATGACAATATTGAATATCTAAAAGAAGAAGAAGAAGAATAATATAATACTAATAAGATCTAATTACAATTGTTTTTCTTATCAAGTGAATAATATATAAGACAAAACACAATATCATGGAAGAAAAAATATAAACATGTATATATATACACTCACACCTCTAGTCGATATTCTTCATACATATTTGTCTCTACTAGGTATTTTTTCTATACTCTCTGGTAAGTATTAGCAAAAACAACATTGATATGTACAACTGTATTTTTTTTCTCGTTGTTTTTATCTTTTTTTTCCCTCTTTCTATGCCCGAATTTTGTTTGTTCTCTTTTTTTTTCTATCGAGTCTATAGTTGTCGATTTTTGAGACATCGTCGACTAGAGAGTGTGCATTCTAACACTGATTGACTGACATGCAAGCCAAATGCAATAGATTACAATGTAATTTTTTTTTAATACGATAAGGACATTTGATAAAAAAATAAATAAAAATTTATACATATTCACTAATCAGAGCGGAAAAAAATAAACTCGAGAGAACGTGTATGAATGTCTCGCAAAAAAATAAATTACGAGAAAAAAAAACGAACTTGCACTTTTTGTTTTTTTACTAGTAATAATACACTTGACAATTTTGTTAACATTATAAAAAAAATAATATTTAATATTCATTAAAATATTATAATTATATGCATGAATCGGATGGATTCATATATTTCCATATAAGAGTCAAATCTTCTAACATAATATTTAAATAGAAAAGGAATTTTTTATTTGATAAAAAAAAAAGAGAGACTTATCTACACTGTTAGATTACTTTAGATATTTATACTACTACGTAGTCAAGAAAGACTAATATTTATTAACAGATATAAATGTAATAATAGAAAAACAAGTTTTTTTCTGTTTTATAATAAAAAAATCTTGTTTTTTTTCTATTCAATATTATTACTCAAGTATTGATTTAATCGAATATTTTTATAAGCTTAATATAACGATGTAAATATGTTATTTTTCAAAATTGATTACATCAAAATGATTCCTATA